CCTAAGCCGCTTCAGGAGACGCATGGCAAGCTCAACCTCGACTCCTTCTGCGCAGCCTGGACGACTCAGGCGGTCCATGCACTTTCCGCCCCTGAAGCTGCACTCCCAGAGACTCCATTACCCCTTCAGGGTTCCCCTAAACCCTAAACCCTAAACCCTAAACCCTAAACCCTAAACCCTAAACCCTCTGGGGTCCTTTGGGTGTTTAGGGCTCTTGTGGTTTTAAAGCTTGTTGGTTTAGGGTTTAGGGTTTAGGGTTTAGGGTTTAGGGTTTAGGGTTTAGGGTTTAGGGTTTAGGGTTTAGGGTTTAGGGTTTAGGGTTTAGGGGGGAGGGGGGGGGGGTGGGGGGGGGGGGGGTAGGGTGGGGGAGTGGGGGCTTCGCTGAACCATGGTCCTTTCTCCTTCAAGGTTCTTGTGGACCCTTCCGAACCCTGTACCCTAAACCCTAAACCCTACTGTAAACCCTAAACCCTAAACCCTAAACCCTAAACCCTAAACCCTAAACCCTAAGGAGCTCTCTGCAGCCTTGTGCATGCTGGTGGCCGACTGCTCCCTGATGACAAAGTATCCCCACGGTCGCCCGCTGGCCGGGGTCCCGGTGGCTTCAGGGGGTTTAGGGTTTAGGGTTAGGGTTTAGGGTTTAGGGTTTAGGGTTTAGGGTTAGGTTTTGGGTTAGGGGTGTTGGTGTTCCCGGTTCGGTTGGGTTTGGCAGAACACCGGCCCTCTCTCCACACCTACTCCTCCATACAGTGTACATTGTATGTGTGCGTGCTCGAGTTGAGTTGAACAGCTGAGCCTGTGCACTGTCGGTTTGGTCACACTGCAGTCTTGTCTGCAGAGTTTGCCTTGCGTTTTAGACTCTAACGTTCAGGGTTTCGGGTCGTTTTAGGGTTTACGGTTTAGGGTTTAGGGGCTTTGACAAGCGGACTTAAGGTTCGGGGTTGGGGTTCTGGCCTTCCAGGCGGAGGGCTAAGGGTCTAACGAGTTTAGAGTAGATGGCTGTAGGTTTTTCCCGAAACCCTGAGCCCTAAACCCTAAACCCTAAACCCCAAACCGGCCCTCGACTCGATACCCCCTCAACCACCCAGGACAATTGGGAGCACCACCTCGAGAAGGTCAAGGAGGAGTATGAGGAGACGGGGAAGCGCGAGCCTGAGAACGATCTGGCAGGGCTTAGGGTTTAGGGTGTAGGGTGTAGGGGTTTGGGGGTTTGGGGGCTTAGGGGCTTAGGGGTTTAGGGGTTTCGGTGTTTAGGGGTCTAGGGGTTTAGTGGTTCAGGGGTTTAAGGGTTTAGGGGTTTAGGGGTTTAGAGGTTAAGGGGTAGGCGATTAGTGGTTTAGGTTGCTGGGGTTACAGGGGCTATAGGGCTAGAAGAATCTGCTGTTGCATGATAATAGGGTTGATAGGGTTATGGGGCTCCTGGCTCGAAAGGGTTACAGGGTTTGCGGGGGTTCAGCGGGCGATTTCGGGCTTGCAGGGATGAGGGTTTAGGTTTAGGGTTTTGGGGGTTAGGGCTGTTCGGGCCCGGCAGATGTTGAAATTTCGTCTCGGCGCGGGGGGTGGGGGGGGGGGGGGGGGGGGGGGGGAGGGGGCGGTTGTTCAGTTTCATATTTGGAAGAAGGAAGTTGACCCCTGTTGTTTATCCCTTATTAGAAGTCCTGCCGTTTTGGGGTGAGTACTGGCATGTTTTTTGGAATGAGGGCTTAGGGTTAAGGGATTCGGCGTGCATATTTAGACCATGGATTAGGTTCACACACACATACATATATATATATATATACATATATATATACATATATATATACATATATATATATATATTATATTATACACGGCAGAGAGTTTTCTGCAGCCCTGAACCCTAAAGAAGTTCAGCGCCTAAGAGCATCAGCAAACTCTTCCCGCTCCCGAGTAGACGTACTCAGAAGTACCGGAAAGATGGATTCTGGCCTCTAGTACACCTGGTCGTGTGCAGTTGCTTCAAAGGTGTGCGTTTTAAAGTTAAGTGTAAACCCAAAGCCCTAAAGCCCTCAACCCTAACTCCCATATCCAAACCCCCTCCCGCCCAAAAAAACAAATCTATCTATATATATATATATATTTATTTATTTCTTTTTTATGAATTTATTTATTTTTACAAAACAAGAATAAAACCACAACAAAAAAAAACATTAATTAAAATAATAAACAAGCTGGACCCCATAAACCCCTGAACGATGGTCTCTGGGGTTCAGAACAGTCAGCAGGATGATCACGCTGGCGGATGACATGGCCTAGAGGTGACTGGCTGAGCGCCAGACTCCTCTTCCCTGCACGACTGGCACAGGGCCTGCCAAGCGTGTCTTTCGGGTTCGGGCCTGGGTGTGTTGACATGGGCAACGTGACCCTAAACCCTAAAACCCTAAAACCCTAAAATCCTAAAACCCTAAAACCCTAAAACACTTAAGCCACGAAGAACCATGCATGTGAGCCCTTGGAGCCTGCTGTCTCGGGCCTATTTGCCCTAAACCCTAAACCTCAAAACCTCTAAACCCCTAAGCCCCTGAAACCAAGACTCCCAACTAAAGGTTGTGCCTCTCCAAGCCTTAAGGGAGTTTGAGTGAAAGCAAATGCAGTTTAGGGTGGTAGGGTGTAGGGTTTGGGGTTTAGGGTTTAGGGTTTAGGGTATAGGGGTTAGGGTTTAGGGTTTTGGGTTTCCCAAACCCTAGTAAACCCCCGTCACTTCAGCCCCGACAGGCACGTTAATCGCAGGCCCAGTACCTTTTTGTTCAGCGGGGTCGTGAGATACCAGTGCAAGGGCGCTCGTCTTTTTTGGGGATTTAGGGTTTGGGGTTTAGGGTTAAAGGGCTGCAAGGGCCCGAAAGCCCTAAACCAGGGGTCTGGGTTCAGTGGGTTCAGGGTGTAGGGTGTAGTCGCTGTTTGCTGCAGTTCATTGGCTTAACTAAACCCTAAACCCTAAACCCTAAAGCCTGCCCCACCCTCGACTCAAGAACCGAAACCCTAAGCCCTAAACCCCTAAACCCTAAGCATATACCGACGTCATGGCTTTGCATGTGGCACCCCTGACTTAACTCCAGTCCTGGCAGTTTACTCCCTTCTTCCCTAGACACATAAACTCCCTGGGTTGAGGGTTTAGGATTTAGGGTTTAGGCCCCGTAAACTCCTAAACCCCTAAACGCCAAGGCCCTCAACCCATAAGCCCTAAGCCCCTCTTCCCATGACCCGACATCTTACACCAGAGGCAGGCTCTGAAGGCTTCCGATCTTCAGGGTTTAGGGTTTGTGGGTTCAGGGCTTAGGGTTTAGGGCTTAGGGCTTACGGTTTAGGGTTTCGGGCTTCGTGCGCAGGATTGCATTGCAGCGAGGGATAAGCATTCCATCGCTTGACACTGGAGTCTTGGAGCCGCCAACTTTGGAACATGTGTCCGCAGGTTCTGCTTCAGCTTCTGAGAATCAGAAGTTCTGGAAGCAGAGCTGGGACAATTTTGTCCCTTGTTTCCGGACACGTGTAGCTTGGGCTGAATCACTGACCCCTTTTTGGCGCCCTAAACCCTAAACCCTAAACCCTCAAAACCCTAAACCCGAAACCCCGAACAAAAGCCCCAAAAGACCCAACAAGGGCCTGTCAGCCCTCTCAAAATTCGGCACGTTTTGCTTTTCCAAGGGTTTCACAGTACTTCCTTGTGGGGGCAGCCCAGGAGGGGCGCCCCTGCTCCCCTGACCACCCTAAAACCCTAAACCCTAAACCCTAAACCCTAAACCCTAAACCCTAAACCCTAAACCCTAAACCCTAAACCCTAAACCCTAAACCCTAAACCCTAAACCCTAAACCCTACTTTACGGTCCCTTCTACGGTGCAGGTTTCCATCAGTTTGCTCAGCTTGGAATCTTCCAAGGCTAACGGTGGGGGTTAATAGCAAACAGCCCACAAGTGAAGCGACGGTTTTTTGGGGTCTCTTCAGGTGGAACGCACGGTAATTTTGGGGTTTAGGGTTTAGGGTTTAGGGCCTAGGGTTTAGGGCTCAGGGCTTTGGACCTTCAATGCCTTACGCGCTAGTCGGGGAGCAAGAGGAAGCACGATGGACAAAGACTTCACATGTGCAGACCTCGAGGTTTCTTTTGCCAAAGACAGACCGTGAAGAGAGTGAAGAAAGGCCTTGTAGGGTTTAGGGTTTAGGGTTTAGGGTTTAGGGTTTAGGGGTCAAGGCGCTCAATGGCTCGAACCCCAAAACCCTCACAGGGTTTGGGGTTTCGGGTTAGGGTTTAGGGTTTAAGGTTTGGGGTTTAGGGTTTAGGGTTTACGGTTTAGGGTTTATAAGGGTTTAGGGTTTAAATTTGCAGTTATGGGGGACGAACACAAGCCTATGTCGAGGCCATCGTCGGGCAATAGGATTTCGGCACACCTTCAAGGCGTCCTTCCGAGAATTCCTTTTATTGGGCACTGGGTTTTGGAGTACTATACTTGGATACTTGTTTGGTTCTGGGTTCCTGATATAGCTACACCCAAAAAGTATGTACCTTGTTCCAGGGTCTACTCCAAAGTAGGGACAGACTCACCCACCACAGTGCCTTGTCGACCAGCACTTGCGCAGCAGCTGGTTCAGGAGGTTCTTGGAGAGCAGCCCTACCCCCCCTGGCACCTTTGAACACCGGCAAGCGCATCCAAGAATTGAGAGGATCCCTTCCTATCTTTCTTAAGTGCGCATGTGTGAACTATGCTAAGAATTCAGGATCCGTTCCCTTCATTCTTATAAGGGTGATTCTAGGTTAGCACGGGGCGAAGAAACAGCCATCGCCCTCAGCTGTTGCCATGTCTGTCAGCCACGAGCGGCCACATACGCCCCTCTGGACACTGAAAGCGTGCCAGTGTCTCATAGCGAGCCAATAGTTGAGCTTTTGAGCTTTTCCTTCGGGACTTTTATGTTTTCATTTAGGGATAAACAGGTTCAGCTCTCTTTTTTCCTTGAAAGAACGAGTTACTCGGCTTTTCTTGTGATATGCATGAAGCAGATCATCGGCATCACGGATGTTTGGAGAAATGTATGTGGGTAGATCTTAATTGGCCCTTGTGGGGTCTACTATGCTGTGTATTATTCCTGATATTTTGTATAGGTTTTTGCTCACAATGTATGGGGGTTTACGAAAATAGAGGACCCCGAACATGAACCCCAGATAGTAGGATCCCCGTATAATAAGGAACACAATCAGGTGCACCCCCTAATTTCGGAAACGCCCCGCCCATATGAGGTCTAGGAGCGGCAGCCTGGGCCTGCTTCGGGCGGTTCATCAATGTCTTCTGGTCCGACATCGGCGTGACACGCGCCGAGATTGGCGCACTGAGCTTGGCGATCATGGTCGCGTCCTTCGTTGGCCAGCTGTTTTGGCCCCTAGATGTTGCTTCAGCAACCCAGAACCCTGAACCCTAAGCTTTAAGCCCTATAACCCAAATCTCGTTTAAGCCCGACACTATACACATGTGCGCTGGCCTAGGTCCATGGTGACAGATCGCTTGGGCGAGTACAAGCGTGTGCTGGTGGGTACCACGCTTACAGGAACTGTCCTCATCTTCCTCTACCTCGTGCCAGGGGTGCAGGTCGGGCTAAACCCTATCGACCCTCAATCCTACATCCTACCTTAGACTACCCCCCTCAGACTACCCCCCCCCCCCCCCCCCCCCCACCACGACCAACAACACTAAAAGACACTGGGAGAATCACAGTACTTGGATACGTCAGGGGCTGAAGCGGCGGGATTTCATATAATCGTTGCTCTCGGCCTGTCACTGAAGGTCTCTTGAGGTCTACGAACCTCCCGCTACAGTTTGGGTTTAGGCCTTAGGGTTTAGGGTTTTCCCTATGCACGAAACGCCAAACCCCAAAAACCTCGCGTAGGGGCGCCGCCCGCCAACGCTAACCCTAAACATAAACCCATAAGCGCAGGCCAGCTTTTGGTGGCTTTCCCTGGTCTGCGTCAGCTCTTCCTTCTTCCTCTCCACTGGCGCTGGGGAGAAATTCCCGGGGTTTAGGGTTTAAAGGGTTTAGGGTTTAGGGTTTAGGGTTACAGTCATAGGGTTTGGGTTTGGGGTTTAGGGGTTGAGGAGTTTAGCGTCTAGGGGTTTAGGGTGTAGGGCTTTTGGGGCTCTAGGTTTCAGGGCGTTAACTCGCCCTCTTTGAGAATATTCAGATTGCTCTAAACCCCTGACCCTATACCCCTAAACCCTAAACCCTAAACCCTAAACCTTAAACCCCTAAACCCCTAAACCCCTAAAACCTAAACCCCGAAAACCTGACCCCTGTACCCTAAACCCTAAACCCTAAACCCTAAACCCTAAACCCTATGGGGCTCGTTGTCGTCTGCAGAGGCGGCCCCATCATCGATGCGATGTGCCTCTCAGTGCTGCAGGATCGGGCTATGGAAGCCTGTGCCCTACGGGGTTTAGGGTTTATAGGGTTTATAGGGTTTATAGGGTTTATAGGGTTTATAGGGTTTATAGGGTTTATAGGGTTTATAGGGTTTATAGGGTTTATAGGGTTTAGGGTTTAGGGGCTTAGAAGCTTAGGCAGTTGGGATGTTTGATATTTTCCCTTTTTGGGTTGAAGAGGATAATGTGTCGGACTCTTTCTCGGAGGGCCGTCCTAGCTAAAAGCCCTCAAGCCCAATCAAAACGAAGCCCAGATCGGCCCCAAGCCCATGAAGGGTTTAGGGTTTTGGGTTTAGGGACCCCAAAATGAACCTAATTTGCAGAAGTGACCAAGCCATTCCTAAACCCTAAGCCCTAAACCCTAAACCAGCTGCAGGAGCAGGACAGCGAGGAGCAGTATGGCGACCAGCGGCTTTGGTGCGCTGTAGGCTGGGGTGGCATGAGCCTGGTGGCCGGGCAGCTGATCGATACCCGGACTGGTACCTTTTGGGAAATTGTTCTGAGAGTTGATATGGGGGGGGGGGGGGGGGGGGTGTGTGTTTTAGGGCATTTTAGGGTCTAGGGCCTAATTATGATTTCTATCCGTTTTTGAAACCCTAAACCCGAAACCCTGAACCCTAAACCATGAACTCCATTCCCAGACAATACAAAGGACATCTTCGGCATCGGGTTCATGTTCTGGGGCTTCGCCTCCATCGAGGCCGCCTACATGGCTGTGTGCTTCTCGGACGGTGACTGCCTAAACCCCAAACCCTAAACCCTAAATCCTAAACCCACTATCGACAAGCCCTAAACTTTAGTAGCACAATCAGGCAGACAGTAAGGTTTTCCAAAATAATTATTTTTGTGATAAATATGTGTCACAAAAGTGATTCGGAAATGTAACCTGAACTGTGAAATGTACTCACTGAGTCACAAAAAATGTCTTTAGCATGGACGGCAGTATGCTTGAAAAATGTGATACTTTTCTGCATTGGGACAATAGTTAGTAGAAAAAGGTGCATGTATTGTGATTACCTTCTGAATTGCTATTAACCAATCCAGAATTAAAATGAGAATACATTCTGCCGTTTTTCGTTACATTTTATTTGCTTTTTTGTGCTGTTGCTGGGCACATTTGTTTTGCATTCTTGTTGCTTTTTTTTGCATTTGTTTTTTTCAGGTACAATTTCCAAGTACATTTTTTGCACATTTTTGGCACAATTTTAATTATTCTTGTTTTTGTGGGTTCTACCTGTGATTGTGCGACTAAACCCTAAACCTTCGAAGCCCTAAACCCTAAACCCGCGAAGCCTTTATCAACTTATCAACATAACGCCGAGAAGAGCACACCAGAGACCCTACACCCTAAGGCGCTGAAACCCGAAAACGCCCTCAAGGGCTCAGTTCCTGGAGCCAAAACAAACCTAAACCCTAAACCCTAAACCCTAAACCCTAAACCCTAAACCCTAAACCCTAAACCCTCTCTTGTTCCTCTTCCTTACTTGGGCAACCGAGGTCTCTGTTACATGCCCATGCAGAAGCACAAGAAGCAGAACACCGGCCAGGAGGAGGCACTGCACGGGCAACGTGCTTCCGAGACCGCCCCCGGAACCCTGTCAGCTGCGGTTTGGGGTTGAGGGGTTAAGGGTGTAGGGCTTGGGTTTAGGATTTAGGGTTTAGGGGGTTTAGGGTTCACCCTAAACACCCTATAAACCATCTAAGTCCTGCCGGGGAAAAAAAGAACAGGGACTCCAATTCGACAGGTGGCAATCAAGGAGTTCACCCTCTAAACCATGTTCACCCAAAACATCCTAAGCCCTTACCCACCCCCCAAATCCCCCAGAGGTGACTCTCAAGCAGTTCATGAACTTCGACGTCACTAGGTTGGCCTTCGGGATATGTGAATATATTTCCCTTCTTTGAGTTTACAAGGGCTTTCTCGTAAAAAGTTGCTACTCAACCCTACAGCCTACACCCTAAATCTTAAACCCTAACCTTCAACCCTAAACCCTAACCTAAACCCTAAGCCTTAAACCCTAAACCCTTATCCCTAACCCTAAGAATCACTAAACCCTAAGCCCTAAACCCAGGTATTGTGGTTCTTTGCGAACCTCATTGTCTACGGCCTCGCCATGTCGGTAGTGGAGTCCTTCTTGCTGGTGTTCCTGAATGAGGACCCCCAAGCGTAACCCTAGGGTTTGGGGTTTGGGGTTTAGGGTTAGGGTTTAGGGTTTGGGGTTTAGGATTTGGGGTTTAGGGGTTTAGGGGTTTAGGGTTTAGGGGTTTAGGGTTTGGGGGGTTTAGGGGTTTAGGGATCCTTCTTACTGGTGTTCCTGAATGAGGACCCCAATCGCATCCCCAAACTCCATCAAGCCCTATTCACCCACAGTTTAGGATTTAGGGTCTAAGGTTTAGGGTGTAGGGTTTAGGGTTTAGGGTTTAGGGTTTAGGGTTTAGGGCCTATGAGCCCCCATAACCCCTGTGAACCCTGTGAACATTTGTGAACCGTAGACACCCCAAACCCACACCCGACCTACCGTCCCCAAGACCTCAACACCCTCACGCCTAGCACCTCAAAACCCTAAACCCGCAAGCCTAAACCCTCAAGCCTCAACCCTGAACCCCAAACCCTACACCCTAAACCCGAAACCTAAAACCCGAAGCCCCAAACCCAAAACCCGAAACCTGAAACCCAAAACCCGAAACCCTAAACCCTAAACCCTAAACCCTAAAACCTAAGCCCTAAAACCTAAGCCCTAAGCCCTAAGCCCTAAGCCCTAAGCCCTAAACCCTAAACCCTAAGCCCTAAACCCTAAGCCCTAAACCCTAAGCCCTAAACCCAACTCAAGAAGTCGCAGCAAACTCGGCAGACTGGGAGCGGTCCTCCTTAGAGGTTTCTGGGCGCTGGAGGTCTGCACGTTTAGGGTTAAGGGTTTGGGGTTTAGGGTTTAGGGTTTAGGGTTTGGGGTTTAGGATTTAGGGTTTGGGGTTTAGGGTTTCGGGTTTGGGGTTTCGGGTCTCGGGCTTTAGGGTACAAAGCCCCAGACCCCAAAACAGTTCATCCGACATGAGGACTTCGAAAACCCACCGAAGCTGCTGCTGGGCGCGAGCACCACCGTGATGTGCTTTTTTGAGGTCCGGGTTTAGGGTTTAGGGTTTAAAGGGTTTATGGTTTAGGGTTTTAGGGTTTTAGGGTTTAGGGTTTAGGGTTTAGGGTTTAGGGTTGCATGTCTCGAGTTGGTTAGGCGTGAGGGTTTGAGGTCGTGGGCTCATGGGTAGGGTTTTGAGGCGTGTAGGATTTAGGTCTGGCGGCTGTAGTAAGGCTCCGGCAATAGTTGGTGGCTTTGGCGTTAGGATATCAGGGTTCGGGCTTTTTCGGTTTTGTGTAAATATGGGCTTATGGTTGATGGGTGTACGGCTTGCGGGTCCAGCCTATGTCACCAGAAGAGGGGAAGTGTGCCTAAACCATGGAATCTCATTCCATTGAAGGCGCAGGGTTTAGGGTTTAGGGTTTAGGGTTTAGGGTTTAGGGTTTAGGGTTTAGGGTTTAGGGTTTAGGGTTTAGGGTTTAGGGTTCCCTAAGATGCTTGAGGGCCCACAGGTGCGGGAGTCCCAAAACACAACTCTGCGTGTTCAGGTTCGCCTGTGCATACTATGCAACGCTGAGGACCTGAACAAAGAGTCCAAGCAAAACTTCTACTTACAGTCCCAGACCCGGGGTAAGCCATGGATTCCCAACACAAAACACCCCGTAAACCCTTAAAGCCCATTTCAAGCCCCCAAACCCCAAAGCCATAAAACCCTAAACTCGAACAACACGACACCGCTTGTACCCTAGACTTCGAACCCTAAGCTTATAACAAATCCTACACTTCCTAAACACCCCAGTCCCAAACCCCGAAAACCCTGAAACCTTAAAACGCTAAGCCTTAAACCCTAAACCCTCAACCCAAACCCTAAAAGCCGTAAACCCTCTGCCTTAAAACGTCACGAGGTGCCCGTCTTCAAGTACATCGACGCGGTCTGGGCTCGAAAGAAGGAGAGGCTAACGTGGCCAAGCGAGCGTTTTGGGGTTTAGGGTTTTGGGGTTTCAGGCTATCCCAACAGCCATTTGGGGTTTAGAGTTTAGGGGGGTCAGGGTTTGGGGTTCAGAGTTAATTAGCCCTCAACCCGTAGCCCAGAACCTTCAACCTTACTGGGACCTCTTGGTTCTCTCGCATGGTGCCCTGTTGGAATGCAGCTTTCCGGGTACCCTAGACACGTTTATACAACCAAACAAAGTAATTTTCTCAAGGCCCCCCCTAAACCCTAAACCCTAAAAGGGAGCATTTTCAGAAACTCTCATGGTAAACCCTTTTGCGCGGACCATGGTCCGCAGGAACCCTGTGCTTGTGACTTTGTAGTCTAGGGTTTAGGGTTTAGGGTTTAGGGTTTAGGATTTAGGGTTTAGGGTTTAGGGGCTTGTGAGTTGTTCCCGAAGAAGATCATCGACTCCAGCCGAGGTCCGTGCTGATGGCGTGTAAGCTTGTGCTGGCTTTCCGCTGCTTCTGCTACACCTTGCTGCCTCCTTCCCAGCCATGGCGCTTGGGGTTAAAAATTCGAATAACTTATATACACTCCTAGGGAATATGGGCCCTAATCCTATGTAGCCCTACTAGAGAAGCCATAGAAATTGATTGTCTCTAGCGCCCCCCAAGCCCCCCAGGCCACAAATTCCTCGCCCCCCACCCCGCCACCCAAACCCCACACCCCAATCCCCAAACCCGAAACACCCCAAACCCAAAACCTCTAAACCCTAAACCCTATAAACTATAAACCCTAAACCCTCCTTCCCCCGTAAAGTTCAGGCTTGTTCTTTTGATTGAGCCGCTGCACGGCTTCACTTTTGCGGCCATGTGGTCGGCGACCGTGGAGTACTCCCTGGCTCTTGAGTTAGTATGCTTTGTTGTGTTTTTTTTCATGTATAGGGTGTAGGGTTATGTATGTATGCATGCATGTATGTATGTATGCATGCATGTATGTATGTATGCATGCATGCATGCATGTATATATATATATATGTATATATTCATATACATATACATGCATATATGTTCTTGTTGTTTCACTTGGCTTCTGGGCTCTGCATATATATATATATATCTATATATATATATATATATATGCATATACATATGTTTGAAAGCGCCTCCCCCCTAAACGCATCAAAGATAGCTGAGATAGCTATCTAGCACTAGTCGCACTATGTATTTCTCTTTCCCGGATTTACTTCAAGCCTTAGGTACGGCCAGCGCATCGCTCCTCCTGGCTGCGTTGCCCGGATGCAAGCCCTTGTCAACGGCATCTACTACCAGATTGCCATGGGCATCGGCACCGCCATGTGGGGCCCTCTGGCCATGCAACCCCCTCAGGGCCTGGGATTTCAAACCTGCTTTCGCCTGGACGCTGCTGGGATTATTCTTTGGGGCCTCATCTGGCAGGCTGGTATCTTCCTTCGAGGCCGAAGGCAAGCCAGGAGTGCCGGGATCACCGTAGAGCAGCCACTGGCAGAGGTTTCTTGACACACCTGCGTTGACCTTTCCAATGTAGCGAAGGCTACCCCCCCCCTCCAGCGCTCTCCTCCCTCCTCTCTCCCTCTCTCTCTCTCTCTATCTCTCTCTCTCTCTCTCTATCTCTCTCTCTCTCTCTCTCTCTCTCTCTCTCTCTCTTTCTCTCGCTTGCCTCCTTCCTGCTTCTGCAGGTCTCGTCCTCTCTCTGTCCTCTTCAGTCTCCTCTCTTCTTTTTGCCCCTTTCCAGCATCTTTTGAAGCTCCCAGCTCAGACATTGGTTCAGCGAGGGAACAAAAGCGCCTCACGAGGCCCTGACTTGAAAAAGCTTTCCGGCTGAGGTAGCCCTAAACCCTAAACCCTAAACCCTAAACCCTAAACCCTAAACCCTAAACCCTAAACCCTAAACCCTAAACCCTAAACCCTAAACCCTAAACCCTATACGCCCGAAACCCCCCATACCTTGGACTGGCATGTGGCTCCTGAGCCTCACACAGGGACTCTTAACTCCCTTCACATAGGGTTTTAGGGTTTAGGGTTTAGGGTTTGGGATGTAGGATTTTATGATAATTGCTCAAGCGCATACCGAGACATCTTGCCAGCAAGCAAGATGGACGATACCTTTGTCCCGTCACGTTGTTTGTCGTCTCCTCGAGTTTCGGGTAAGGTTTCATGCTTCCACTTGAAAATTCCCACAATACTTGTATACCCCCAAACCTTAAATCCTAAACCCTAAACCCTACGCCCTAAACCCTAAACCCTAAACCCTAAACCCTAAACCCTAAACCCTAAACCCCTAAACCCCTAAACCCCTAAACCCCTAAACCCTAAACCCTAAACCCTAACACAAAAAGAATAGAATCCCCTTAAAGGGCCCCCCCAAAAAGGTACCCCAATTGTCGGAAACCACCACTTGAGTTCCCAGAGTTCGATCCTTAGCTCAGAGGCATCCTCTCATCCTCAGCAACAATCATGGAAGGATTCACGAATTTACGGTTGAGGCTTTCGGGTTTAGGGTTTAGGGTTTAGGGTTCGGGGCCTGAGGGTTTAGGGTTTAGGGTGGGTAATCGGCTTCGCAAATCCCTTGTCAGCCCGTCCCCTGGCAGCTAAAGGAAACCCCTAGGTTTAGGGTTTAGGGCTTCTGGTTTAGGGTTCAGGGTTTAGGGTTTAGGGTGTAGGGTTTAGGGTTTAGGGTTTCGGGTTCCTGCAATGCAGCCTTGTAGCAGCCTGAACGCACGTGCATAAAGAGCGCAACAATCATTGTTCTATCCGATAAAGGGTTTAGAGTTTAGGGTTTAGGGTTTAGAGTCTAGGGTTTATTATCCATCAGAATCCTTAGCCTTTGTAATCCTACCGTTCTTGATGTTACGAATTCTCTACCCCAAGCCCCAAATCCTGGCACCGCGACCAAGCAAGGTGAGCTACCAGGGACGTTTGCTTCCTGGAGGCCCTGGCGACACCCCCGGTTCTCAGGTCTAGAACGGGGGGCAGGGCGGGGTTACACTAGGGCTTACAGGGCTTAAGTGCACATGTGGTGGCTTCTAGGGTTTACAGAATTTAGAGGCTTTCGGGCATACAGGGCTCAAACATTGATAAAAGGCTTTTGAAATCTAAAGGTCAGGGCCTTTGTTTGGGGCTGAGTTCTGGGTTTCTGTGGTTGTTCTCCATCCTTCGGCACGCTCTGACACGTGCATTCCATGGGAGTCGCCGGCCATGAAGGACAAGCACAGACAGAGAGATGAACGAACTCCTGTAACTGGCGCTTTATCGGGGCTGCCTTTGAGGGCCCAAGCCCGCCAAAGAACGAAGGGGTTAAGGCTTCGGGTTTAGGGTTTAGCGTTCCGACAGTGGGGAGAGGGAGAGAGATAGAGGGATTAAGGTCAAGACACCACAAAGTCGATACTGCAAAGCGCCCTAGACCCGCAACCCCCCTCCCCCCTCCCCCCCTCCCCCCCCCGCTTCCCCAAAGGAAGCCTGAACCCTCTATGCCCTTATATGGCACCCCTAGCAGCCATGGGATGCTATATACTTTCCCTTACTGGGTTCAGGAGCATCATATTTACGAGTATTTCTCAGAGCGTTTCGGGCATCCTAGGCCTAGCATGCCTTTGCCAAGGGGCTGTCTGACATGGAGTCACGCTGAGCAGCTCCTCCTGCTTACCAGCCGGGGGTGGTTGAGGGTGCAGGCTTTAGGGTTCAGGGTTTAGGGTTTTGGGATTGACATTCAATTTCTCTGGGTACGGTATGGAAGTAGAAGGATCAGTTTGGGTATGCTGTGGTAGTCAACGTATCAACTTCTTTGGGTATAATGGGTATGATATCTTGGAAGATGAAGAAGTTGCGTTGAATCACAAGATCTGATGTTTCATTTTTGAATGTAGTTGCATTTAGTATTCCTTTCGATGGGGTTAGTTAGTGTGAAGGCAGAAGAGTTCACTCCCGCATCACACTCGAGTTCTTGCCTCGCAGCCCGAATAGTTTCTTCAGAGTTGGGTGAGGGATTTTGGGGGTTCATGGTCTGCGTTTTTGAGTTTAGGCTTTAGTGTTCGGGGTTTCAGGGCTTTAGAATATGAGATATCGGGTCTGTCGTGGCCCTCAAGATAGCTGGAGAGATGTTCGCATTGATGGCTCACGGAACGAACACCAGCCCTCACCATGGCCTGTCAACAAGAGCACGAGCCTCTCCTCTCTCGCACTCCAAAGCTGTGTGCAGAAACATCGCAGTGCCAGGTTTTGTTGGTCGGAGGACACCGTAGATGAACTTAAACCCTAAACCCTAAACCCTAAATGCTACACCCTGACCCCTAACACTAACTGGGAGGTGTTAACTGAGAGTGACACCACCTGGAGATCAGTGGCCCCAAGACCTAGGCACATGGCAACAGTAGGTCCCAGAGTAGGCCCTTGTTCCTAATCGTGCGGTTTTTAGGTTCCCCCTGCAGTCCAAGAAGGGTACCCTCCCAGACCCCCGGGAGGGTCCAAAACATAGATCCCCTTATGGGTTCCCAAACGTGACCCAATTGTAGTATAGGGTACTACTTGGGGGTTCGATTGTTGGATCCTCCCAGGGGTCTCCCTAAACCCTAAACCCTAAACCCTAAACCCTAAACCCTAAACCCTGGGCTGTACATTTCTGGGTTGCTCTTGGGTCACCTTAAACCCAAAACCTTCCATGCAAAAGGCAACTCTTCGGTCTAGTCCATTACCCAGACCCTTGGCAGGATCCAACCCTTAAGGGCATCTATTTTTGGGATCCTCCCAGCAGGGGTCTGGGTAGTGAACCCTCTAGACCCTTGAGTCCTGATGGTGCAGTAGGCCCTAAGCCCTAAGCCCCTTAAACCCCCCAAAGCCCGGCGACCCACAGGGAATGAATGGAACACCTCATGTTGTTGTTTGTTGAGTTTGGGGTTTAGGGTTAGGGGTTGTGGGTTTCGGGTTTGGGGGGGGGGTTCAGAAACTTGGTTTCCCTTCTGGGAATGCAGGGTTGTAGTGTTTCGGGTTGAAGAGATGTATGTATATATTTACCCCTAAACCCTGAATGGGACCCTAAACCACCATAAGCCTTCAAGACCGGAACGTCATGAACATACAATTCAGGGCAGGGGCTTTAGGGTTTAGGCTTTAGGGCATAGGGGTTTAGAGTTTGGGGTTTCAGTGGCTCAGGGTTTAAGGCAATTTTAGGTCTAGGGTTTGGGCACGTGGGATTTGCGCCTGGAGGGTTTAGATTAAGGGCATAGGAGTTCGGGTGAAGAATGTAGGGCTTCGTGGGGATGGGGACACATGCTCTGCTGTGATCTAGTCTGTGCAGGTGTGGCAGTTCTAGGACCTTAGTAGGATTCATAGCTTGCATACGGTTCACAGGTGTTTTTTGGCTTATCGTGTTTATTGTCTTCGGGTTGGCTTATCAGACGTTAGATTCTGCACGGAAAGGGCCGCCAGCCCATTGCGATTTAGGGTTTAGGGTTCAGAGTTTCGGGCCTAGTGCGTCTTCTTAGCCGAGTCTTGCGGCGGTGGTTGTGATCTCTTACTCCCCTCAGTAAACTTCACCCAACTCTGCTTGGTTTATGGCCTATAGGGTCTTCAGCATCCACGCGGACTGTCAAAGAGAGTGCGAGAGGGGGTGGAGCAGAACTCCCAGAAGCTGCCAGAACCCGACCTTTGCTCAAGCAGCTTGTGCTTATGTGGAACGAGATAGAAGCTGAGCCCCTAAACCCTAAACCCCTAACCCCTAAACCCTAAACCCTAAACCCTAAAACCCTAAACCCTTTTTGCGGTTTAGGGTTTGGGCTTGAGCCACAGGGTCTCACCTAACCCTTTTTGCGGTTTAGGGTTTGGGCTTGAGCCACAGGGTCTCACAAGCCCATAGTCAAGATTAACCCTCTTAGGGACTACTGGCATTTTTGTATCACCCCAAGTATACCCCATTGAGGTACCCGAAACCACCCATAACCCCTAAACCCTGAAACCCGAAACCCTGAAACCCTATTTGATGGGCCGCGAGGCATATGTTCCCCCCTTTTACTAACAGTCCCCAATCGGGATTGTCCTTGGAGGTGCTATAACTATGACTCTATTAAGCTAAGAGCCTACACCCTAAACCCTCAACCCCTAAACCTTAAACCCTAAACCTTAAACCCTAAAGCATAAGAGGCTACCTATCTCAAGACGAGTTCAGCGCTTCGGGGAATCGTGTTCCGACCTGTGAATGAGACCCTCGCCCCTGCCTCATGTGGTAGCCTTGACCTGCGTCAGTGCCTTGCCAGCACCCTAAACCCCAAACCCTCAATCCTAACCCCAAGCCCTATAAACCCTAAACCCCAACCCTAAACCCTAAACCCTGAACAGGCCTCGGCTAGGACTGCCCTCAACCTCAACAAACCCTAACACCCTGAAACCCCCCAAACCCCTAACCCCCAGACCCTAAACAATGAACCCTAAACCCTAAACCAAAAACCCTAACCTAAACCCTCAAGCCGTCCCGAAATCTTCATACCCAAAACAGCAGCGCTTTAAGTCCGAGGTGTCGGGTTTAGGGTTTTAAGGGGTTAAGGGGTTCAGGGTTTAGGGTTTAGGGTTTAGGGTTTAGGGTTTAGGGTTTAGGGTTTAGGGTGAGCTTAGGGCGTAGTAGGGTTTTGGGCATGCTGGGGTTCGGGGTTTTCGAGGTTAGCATATCAGGAGCTTTGGCAGTTTTGAGTCTAAGCCCTTTAGGGTTTAGGGTTTAGGGTTTAGGGTTTAGGGTTTAGGGTTTAGGGCTTGGGCTCAGCAGAACTCCCAAGCCTGTGTTCCAGGTTAAGGGTTTAGGCTTTTTGGCTTTTTGGCCGTGGGTGTTTGGGGTGAGTTTTGGGAGATAGGAAAGCTCGCGTTTTTGAGGGCTCATAACTAGAGGAGTTTGGGGCTCAATCTGGATTCAAGGATTTAGTGGATGTAGTGGTCGGAATAATTACGTATAGTATTCCCCTATGATCCGTTTGTAAGTTCACTATAATCACCCTTAAAACCCTAGATATTCTAAGTATTCAGCCCCTTTATTATGAACTATGAAAGCTTTTCTAAGCCCTAAACCCTAAACCCTAAACCCTAAACCCTAAACCCTAAACCCTAAACCCTAAACCCTAGACCCTGCCCCGGTCGCCGAAGGTGCTCAGACTCTCCACTGCTGGATTTTTCCCGCCCGCACCTGCCGCGCGGAGCCAGAGTGGCTTCCCGGCAGCCCGCAGGCGCCTAGGGTTCAGGGTTTAGGGGTTTAGGCTTTAGAGCTTAGGGGCTGGAATCCTTGTTTTGAGAGGCAGAGGGGTTCGGCGCACTGGCGTCTTAGAGCATTAATTGTACTGAAGGCTGTACGTTGCTTCTGGTTTAGGGAGCCCTAAACCCAAAACCCTAAACCCTATACCCTAATCCCTAAACCCTGAACCCTAAACCCTAAACCCTTCGGGCGGCTTAGACAGCAAAGTCCAAGGGTTTCAAACGTCGAGTCATTCTGGGGGAGGCATCTTTCTGAGAATCGGGGTGTGGGCTTTGCTGTAAGTGTTCTAGACGCAAGAAGAACCTAAGACAAAGGGAGACAAGGAGCCCAGGAACCCAGCAACAGTCCTCAGAATGTCGGCAATCCTCACATGACTGTAGAACCCCAACAGTAGCCTGTTTGGGGAAGAAGAGCCTCCTCTGTGTCCTAGTAGCCCTAAACCCTGAACCCTGAACCATCAACCCTAAACTCTATAGCCTAAAAAAGGGACTGTTTGGGAAAGAAAAGCCTCCTCTAGGTCTTAGTAGCCCTAAACCCTGAACCCTAAACCCTAAACCGTAAACCCTAGACCCTAAACCCTAAACCGTAAGCCCTAACCCCTAAACCCTAAACCCTAAACCCTAAACCCTAAACCCTAAACCCTAAACCCTAAACCCTAAGCCCTAAGCCCTAAACCCTAAACCCTAAACCCTAAACCCTAAACCCTAAACCCTAAACCCAGCCCCATGTAGGTGGTGGATGCCGCCGCGCTCCAGGGGCAGCCAAGTGCGGAGGCTGGAGCGGGGCGCCGTAGGGGCCCTTTGTTGGCTTTTTGGGAGAGTTTAGGGTTAGGGGGTTTAGGGTTTAGGGTTTAGGGTTTAGGGTTTAGGGTTTAGGGTTTAGGGTTCATTGTTTAGGGCTTGGGGTGAGAATAGGGTAGGGTTGCAGGGGGCTAGGGTTGAGGGTTGTGGGTTTAGGGTATAGGGTTGAAGGGGGCTTGGGGCTTAGAGCATTAGGCTTCAGGGGTTTAGGGCTTAAGGGGGCTTTTAGGGTCTACTTAGGGTCTACTTTGCTGGGGGGTTTAAGGGGTTTCGGGTTGGGGTGTGGGGTTACAGTTCAGGGTTTCAGGGATGGGTTGGGGCTTCAGTGCCACCAGGGTCAGGTTTAAAGGGCTGGGGCTGACGGCACTTGGGTTACTCCCACCCCCCCCCCCCCCCCCCCCGAACCTTACTCTGCAATGTACCTAAAAGGATGTTCAGGGTTTAGGGTTATCCCCTAGACTAGACCCTAGCCCGAAACCCTAAACCCTAGCCCGAAACCCTAAACAAGCCCTTATCCTCCGCACCCTGCCACTTCGAGAGTGCAGGTCAATCTAAACCGTGGGGTTTGGGGCTTAGAGTTTATGGATTGTGAGGTTCCCCCCCTATGCTAACAGTCCTTAATAGGGATTATGGTACTATAGTACCCCCTACTATAATCCATACTAAGGACTGTTAGTATCAGGGGGAACATCCCAACTCATGGACCCTGAACCCTAAACCCGTGTAGGAGGTTTGGGCTTTCGGAGTACGGGTTTAGGGTTCAGGATTTAGAGTTTAGGGGTGTTGACGACAGGTTCCGGAGATTCCCTAAAGTAACCCTTTACCTCAAAAAGAGGAGCACGTCTTCCTTTTGTGAAGGGTATTCAGGTTGCCCTACGCAGCCCACATAGGGCTACGGGGTATAGGGTCTAGAGAGCTGTTAGTGGTCGAGGTTTTAGGGTTTCGGTTAGGTTTTGCATCACCAACAGTTATCCTGAGATCACCCTTAAACGAGCTAGAGGGTTTCAGAGTTCGGAGGGAGGTTTAGGGGGCTCAGACGCCCTATCCCTAAACCCTGCGTACAGCAACTTTGTGGAATCACATGTGTGTAGTTCGCTATGAGCATGTGTCCTTATTGGTGGAGGCTGCACAAGGAACTTATGCTGGGAAATGAGAAAGTGAGAGCAACCACCCTTTCGGGTACCTCTCTATCCATGCTTAATTGTTGACATAAGCTGTGTCGCTGGGCGATTTGGCCCTCAGCCCTAAACTCTAAACCCTAAACCCTAAACCCGAAACCCTAAACCCTAAACCCTCAACCCTAAACCCCCTCAGCAGCCTTAAATCCTGCACCTCACGTCAGGATGCCTGCGCGCGAGAAGCTCGTGAGCGCCACCTGACTACTGGGGTCTCCGAAAAAACCCTTGAATCCCCAAAACCCTGCATTTTGTGAGACTTTGCACTGCGCCGCCCAAACCCCAAAAGCCCAACCGAACCCGAACTTGTGGGGCAAAAGAGGTGCACCTTGCAAGATTGATGGTTGCGTCGGCCCCAATATGCCCCAACCCTAAACAACCCTAAACCCTAAACCCTAAACCCTAAACCCTAAACCTCCAAACCCGAAACCCTAAACCCTAAAGCCTATAAACCATAAACCCTGTCGAGCTTCTGGCAGCAGCTGATGTGATCCCAGTTTGGAGGTCAGGATTGGCCGAGCTAAACCCTGCACCGCAGACCTCGCACCGTAAACCCTGCATCCTAAACCCTAAACCTCAAACCCTAAACCCTAAACCCTAAACCCTAAACCCTAAACCCTAAACCCTAAACCCTGCAAGCCCTCTCTCAAGGCTGGATCGGCTGCCAGAATGGCGCAGAAGAGGCCATGGACTTCGCACTGGCCCCGGCCGTGCAGCAGCACCTCGACGCTGGGTTTAGGGTTTAGGGTTTAGGGCTTAGGGTTTAGGGTTTAGGGTTTAGGGTTTAGGGTAGTTTAGGCTTTAGGGTTTAGGGTGCGTGGATGGCTTTTAAGCTGTCCGTGCTTCAATGTTTGGGATACATGAAAGGGTACCCCGTATTTTTTCGACATAGCCATGTTGTGGTTTAGGGGGTTTAGGGTTTGAGGGTTTCGTAAGCTCTCGGCTATAAACTGGGGGTTTGCGAGCTTACAGGCCGGTGGCCACCTATTCCCTTAAATTAATGTTCTGATGTTCTGATGGAGTCTTCCGTGAATTGCATTTTGGTTTGCTTGCAAGCCTCGAGCTACTGTGCCCAACACACCCCTCTGCAACTCAGTCGTGACCGTCGCTGAGGGGTGCCCTTACCGGCACCTTTTCGTGCAGAATATGTCCACTACGGTGGCGAGGGTTAGTCTGAGTTTTGGTATCACATCTATATTATAAGTAAGTTCTATAACTATTGACTATATAAATCCTAAACTTGGGATGTTCCCCCTTTACTAGCAGGCCTTAATAGGGTTATAGTACCCCCAATAAGAATTCCAAATAAGGACTTTTAGTATCAGGGGGAACCTCCCAACACATAGACCCCAAACCCTGAACCCTAAACCCCAAACCCCAAACCCTAAACCCTAAACCCCAAACCCCAAACCCCAAACCCTAAACCCTAAACCCACAATTGAGCACCTTCAGGGTGGAGGACATCGCGGATGCTGTCCCCAACTTCCGAGCTTTGGCCTTCACAGGCCTTCCCGTTCCCCCAAAATGGGGGGTTTACGAGAATCAGGACCCTAATTTTGACCCCCAAATAGTAGGATCCCCCTTATAAGAAGGACCCCAATAAGGTACCCGCTAATGTCGTAAAGCCCCAAATCTCCTTAACTAATTAGGCTTAATTATGGGGGGTGGGGGGGGGGGGGGGGAACCCGTGCTTGTGGGGGTTTGAGTTTGTGGCAGGCAGAGGGAGACATAGTTGGGTACGGGGTTGGGGGTTTGAGGGTTCAAGGGTTTCAGTGAGCAGTTCAGGGTTTCAGGGTTTGAGGGTTTGAGGGTTTGAGGGCTTGAGCGTTTGAGGTGGGATTAGTATGATTAATGTTGGACTCGCTTTAGTGTCCGGCGACCCCCCCCCCCCCCCACCAAAAAAAATTGAGGTTTAAACGGGTCCAACATTAGCACCCTTCGCCGGCAGAGTTGTGAACCCTAAACCCTAAACCCTAAACCCTAAACCCTAAACCCTAAACCCTAAACCCTAAACCCTAATTGGGCAAGCCTGGGCAAAGCAGCCGCGGAGAAGTGGACACAAGGTCCTTCGATCCCTAGGATTTCGGTGCTGTAGGAATGAGAAATGAGAAGGTGTACTGTAAGGGTTTAGGGTTTAGGGTTTAGGGTTTAGGGTTTAGGGTTTAGGGTTTAGGGTTTAGGGTTTAGGGTTTAGGGTCAGCCCTAAACCCTGAACCGCACTGTGGGGTTGTTGAGGGCCAAAGGCAAAGTCATGTCCCGAGGTTGCCTTAGGTCCAGAGCAGTGAACTCGGCATGTCCAGGGACGAAAGGAGGGATCCTTATAAGGGACCTTAGGGGTTATTTAGGGGCTACTTAGGTATATAGGGGCTCTATATGTATATATATATATATATATATATCTATATATATATATATATATTATGTATATATAGAGGGGTTATATAGGGGAACAAGATTAAGAGTCCCTGCTAGTGGTCCCTCCTTATACCCCCTAAGCATGGCTCGCTTTGACAGGCCCGTAGTTGAAGCTTGAGGGTACTGGTGCCCTGTTCGCTTCTGCAAATTTGGAGTGTCGACCAAATATAGAAAAGCCTACTCAACATAAAGGGGCACTTGTTATTCCTCATTTCCTTGGTTGCTGGTTGACGACAAGATGCGCAGAACCGACCTCTTGGCGCATTTGGGGGCGTTCGTATGGGGGGGGGGTTCTTTGACCAGTTTCGGGTACCCTACATCGAGGACAGCCTCTGATTTCAAGCGGGGACCGACACATGGGGCCAGAGACGTCAACCCTTTCAGCTTGCAGGCAGCTATCCGGACTTCGGAACGCAGGGCCTGCGGCGTGGCTCGGGAATTTGGCCCTTTGGGGTACACGGTTTTCGACCATCGTGGGCAAACCCTAAACGCTAAACCCTAAACCCTAAACCCTAAACCCTAAACCCTAAACCCTAAACCCTAAACCCTAAACCCTAAGCCCTAAGCCCTAAACCCTAAACCCTAAACCTGAAGAAAGGTTCGAGGTTTGCGGTAAAGCTGGTCCAGGATGCAATCGTCAGGCTTTGTCGGATCCACAGGGGCTGATGATGGGCCTTTTTGGTACCGCAAACGAGAAGTCGTACGTCATACTAGCAGATTTCCCAAACGAGCCAAATCTACACCCGAAACCCTTAACCGTTAACCCTAATTCGACCCTAAACCTTAAACCCTAAACCCCAAACCCCACTTGGCCATTTCGGCCTCTTGATTCGTTTTGCGGGGCTTTGTTCGCAGCGGAGGGGCGGGTTCTTGGGTCAAACCCTAAACCCTAAACCCCAAACCCTAAACCCCAAACCCTAAACCCCAAACCCTAAACCCCAAACCCTAAACCCTAAACCCCAAACCCTAAACCCTAAACGAGAAGCGGGGCGACCATGATGCTGCTGATGCTCGCCTCTTAGGGTCCTCTGCATCTCTGAGGTTTTCAGGGTCCGTTTCCAGCGACTTCAGGTTTAGGGTTTAGGGTTTAGGGTTTAGGGTTTGGGGTTTAGGGTTTAGGGTTTAGGGTTTAGGGTTTAGGGTTTAGGGTTTAGGGTTTAGGGTTTAGGGTTTAGGGTTTAGGGGCCGCCCACCAACAGCTCCCAGGCAAGTTTGCCAAGGTTTGGGGCTTCGGTTTCGGGCTATTTATGGACCCTAATCTCTGAACCCGAAACCCTAAACCCTAAACCTTAAACCCTAAACCCTAAACCCTAAACCCTAAACCCTAAACCCTAAACCCTAAACCTTTAGAAGTGTGGACTGCCTAAGGTAAGATGCACACTTCCCTGCTGTAAAGAAACCCTGGCTCTTAGTAAGGAAATGAGAAAATTGAGGGCCCTGTATATACCCTTCAAGGCTTAGGGATTATGTAGGGCCCTAATTCCCTCATTCCCTTTTGCTGAGAACCAGCCACAAAAGTCAACATACCGGTTCAACCAGATGCTCCCCGAAACCAAAATCGAACCCCTAAACCCTAAACCCTAAACCCCGCCAAAAGCTGCAAGGGTCCTAGGCTCCCGGCAAGTAAGGTTTAATCAGCTGCATCGCAGCCCCCACCTCACCAGGCCGGGCTGGGGGGAGGGAGGGGGTTTGGACCTTTCGAGTCTAGGGTTCAGGGTTTAGGGTTCAGGGTTTAGGGTTCAGGGTTAGGGTTCAGGGTTCTTCAAGTCGTTTGAGGTTTTTAGGGTTTTTCGGTGTAAGGCTTCAAGGGTTGAGGGGGATCTGGGGGAGTTGAGGTTGAAGGGCTCGTAGGGCTCTTGCGATCCGCCCTAAGAACCAAGACCGCCACGGTGTGGACCGGGGTGTGGACCGGCAGGTTCTTCAACTACCAGGTGTCCTTCTTCTGGGCCGACAAGGCTGTTCTTTGGTTTGGGGTCTAGGGTTTAGGCTCGAGGGTTGCGGGTTTATGTAGGGTACTCTGGGTTTCTGCGCCTCAAACCCTATGCCCTGATAACAATGAGCCTAAACCGAGCCTTTTTTGAAAGGTTCCAGCCCCCAAGAATCACCAAAAGCCCTTCTTCTTGTCCCAGACTTTATTGAGGGTTTGCGCTTTATAGAGTCCTTGTAGTGACCTTATGGGGCTTATGTACCCTTATGGAAGATGCTTTCGCCACCTGAGAACTCCGAAACCCAGAATCCCAAATCCCTGAACATAAGCCCTGAAATGAACCCTGAACCTCAAAAGACCTGAAACCCCGAACAACTCCAAAACCCTGACCAAGCCCCATAGAGCTACCCGGTAGCCCAATGGTACCCTTTTTGCCCTTCTGATGGATTCTAGGTTCCCTTAATAAAAGTGGCCCCCTCCTCCCTTTCCCCCCCCCCCCCCCCCCCCACAAAAAGCAAGAAAAATGAAGAAGTGCCCTTATGATAAATTCAGAAAAGGGTTAGTCCGCTACAAAGGCTAGTCAACCTCAAGCTCCCCTAAACCCTAAACCTAAACTCTAAACCCAGCGCCCCCTCCCCAGAGGAGATGACGCAGTTTTCGGACATCGACCTCTCTCGGCCGTCATGCAATGGCCTGCAACTTGGCACGCAACTTCAGATGGCGCAACACGGTTTGGTTTAGGGTTTAGGATTTAGGGTTTAGGGTTTCGGGTTTAGGGTATAGGGTATAGGGTTTAGGGTTTCGGGTCTAAGGCTAAACCCTACAACCCAAAAAACCCAAAACTCTCCAACCCCGCCCGCACCTGCCGCGCGGAGCCGGAGTGGCTTCCCGGCACCTCGCAGGCGTCTAGGGTTCAGGGTTCAGGGTTCAGGGTTCAGGGTTTAGGGTTTAGGGTTTACGGTTTACGGTTTACGGTCATGTTTAGCCGTATCCCGGGCCCTTGCATTCAGGGTACTCTCTGGAAGGATCTCAGGAATGTAGGGCCAGAACTGCCCAAGTCATAGCGTTGCAAGAAAAGAGGGTATGGTTGGAAGACAAAAACGTGGACTAAAATTAGGATCATGCATTCTTTGGGGAGATCTCCCTAAACCCTAAACCCTAAACCCTAAACCCTAAACCCTAAACCCTAAACCCTAAACCCTAAACCCTAAACCCTAAACCCTACAGGTGGGCCAACGTGAAACAGAAGGCTCGGGACATCCTGGACCGCCCCGACGTGCGCCGCTCAGGGGAGTGGGGGTGGGGGTCGGGAAACCCTGAAGCAAGGGTTTAGGGTTTAGGCTTTAGGGTTTAGGGTTTGGGGTTTAGGGTTTAGGGCTTCGGGTTTCGGGTTTCGGGTTTAGGGTTTAGGGGTTAGGGGTTAGGGGTAAGGGAGCCAGTAACACCCTTAGAATCCGTAGAAATCCCCGTGTGCTTGTTTAGGGTTTCGGGTTGGGGCTCAAACCCCTAAACATAAACCCCTGAAACTATAGACCCTTAAAACCCATCAACCCCCCTGCAATTTCCTTGTGAGGGCAATGTAGGGATTGTTTGCTTATTTTGCTTTTGTTCTTTTGTTCAAGGGGGGGGGGGGGGGAGGGGGTTCTTATAAGCAAAGTCCTAGAAGTGTTCAGGTTAGGGTTTCGGGTTCAGGGACTAGGGATCATTGGCCCCAAACCTACTTTGACTTTGAAGTCCAGGAGTGCCCAGCTTAAGTAACAGGACAAGGGCCTAGGGTTTAGGGTTTAGGGTTTAGGGTTTAGGGTTTAGGGTTTCGGGTTTCGGGTTTCGGGTTTCGGGTTTAGGGTTCAAGCCTTAGGGGCCGGGGTTGGACCCGAACTGGATGTAACATGATGCTCGCACACAGAGGAGCGTTCCTGTGCACAAATGTGGCCCATGCCTCCCTAAACCCTAAACCTCTCTTACCTTATATATTGAACCCTATACACATTCGTGGCTAATGGTCATTTCTTCGTGGCTAAGGGTCATTTCTTCGGGCAATTTCTTCGCTCAGGGCCATTTCTTCGTCGCCAAGGGCCATTTCTTGGTCGCTAAGGGCCATTTCTTCGTGGCTAAGGGCCATTTCCTCGTGGCTAAGGGTCATTTCTTCGTGGCTAAGGGTCATTTCCTCGTGGCTAAGGGCAATTTCCGGCGCCACTGGCCTTGGGCTTTAGGATTTAGGGGCTATTGGGCCTTGGGATTTAGGGGCCACTGGCCTTGGGCTTTAGGATTTAGGCGCCTCTGGCCTTGTGCTTTAGGATTTAGGGGCTATTGGGCCTTGGGCTTTAGGATTTAGGGGCCACTGGCCTTGGGCTTTAGGATTTAGGCGCCAATGGCCTTGGGCTTTAGGCTTTAAAACCTATTTAACTTGGGCTTTAGGATTTAGGAGCCACTGGCCCTGGGCTTTAGGATTTAGGCGCCACTGGCCTAAGACTTTCGGATTTAGGGCCTTGGGCTTTAGGGTTTAGGGGCCATTGGGCCTTGGGCTTTAGGAATCAGGCGTCAAAAGAATTTAGGAAACTAAAATATTTTCGGGATCCAATGGGTGGGTGGGTAGATTTTCAATACCAGAGTGGCGAGCTTGACTAGTGAATGCTTGGACATAAGATGCTGAACCCTAAACCCTAAACTCTAAACCCCTAAACACTAAACCCCTGAACCCCTCAACCCTATAAACCCGAAACCCTAACCGTAGCGCTTTCAGCAGGATGCCATCTGCGATGGATGTCGGGAGGACTTACCTGATGCTCGGCAGCACCAAGCAGGACTAGGTCGGAAAGCACGATGACTTTGAGCCTTCAAGCATTAGGGTTTAGGGTTTAGGGTTTAGGGCTACGAAAACAATACGGAAACTCTAGAGGCCATGTGGCGGCATGCGAACGGAGACGTCGACGTGGCGGACTTCCCCTTTAGCGGGGCCAAGGCTGTTGGCTTAGGGTTTAGGAGGGTTTAGGGTTTAGGGTTTAGGGTTTAGGGTTTAGGGTTTAGGGTTTGGGGCCGTTTGGGGTTTAGGGTTTAGGGTTTAGGGTTCAGGTTTTATATAGGGCCACGACAATCAGAAACTACAAGCTGTGACAGAAACTAGGCCCAACTAGAAAGAGAGTGCATCAACTTGGGTTTGGGACGGGGCGGGGGTAGGAGTCGGTGGGTGGGGAGCCCTAAACCCTGACCCCCAAATCCGCTCCCGCGTCCCACGTTTTCGAGTCCAGCCAACCCATTGAAAACACAAATCCTAAACCTTAAGCCCTAAACCCTACACCCTACACCCTATAAACCCTGAACCCTAACCCCGAAACCCTAAACCCAAATTTTCTTCCGGTTTCGATTTCCGATTCAGCCCTGGTTTCCGGCCTTGCTGTTCGGTTTCTGTAGGGTTCTCAAGGGCCAAAAGGCTTCCCTAAGGTTCCATATTCCCTAGGTAACCTAAACCCTAGGTACCTGCCCCCCATGAAGCCCCCCTTAAGAACCCTATAATGTTTTCGATTCAGCCATGCTGGTTTCCGATTTCTTCGTAGACGGATGTGAGGATTTTGTTCTCGTTTCTTGCGGGACAGGCCTCCCCACGGGTTTGCCTTGGGATGTTCCCCCTTATACTAACAGTCCTTAATGGGGATTATAGTGCCGGGGCTGTCCCCCCGTATACTTAGTCCTTAACAGGAATGATGGTACCCCCCCCCTTTATTCTAGTCCCTATTAAGGACTGTTAGTATATGCCCCCAAACCCAAAACCCTAAACCCTAGACCCTAGACCCTGAACCCTGAACCCTAAACCCTAAACTCTAAACAACATCCCAAGGTTTACCTCAAGTTCAGCCGGCTGCCGTTTTTTGGATCAAAGGGCCGGACAGTCTAAGCTGAAGCTCAGCCCTGTAAGTGGAGGCTAGGTCTTGAAGCTGCAAGCTAGGTTTAGGGTTCAGGGTTCAGGGTTCAGGGTTCAGGGTTCAGGGTTCAGGGTTTAGGGTTTAGGGTTTAGGGTTTGGGGTTTGGGGTTTAGGGTTTAGGGTTTAGGGTTTGGGGTTTAGGGTTTAGGGTTTAGGGTTTAGGGTATTTCGGGTTTAGTGTTTCGCAGGTTGCTTTTCGACATCAAGCCTAGACTTCCCTAAACTCCACAAACTCCCGAAACTCCAAAAAGGCCGACTGCTTCCTGGGCACCACTACGCTCACGGCCGCAGAGCTCTTGTGCCTGGGACCTCTTAGTAGTACCCTCTGTTTTGTCCAGGGTTTAGGGTCTAGGGTAAGTTTTGGGCTTAGGGATAGCCCACACCCTAACGTCCTGAATCCCTAAACCCGAAAACTCTAAACCTCGATCCCTAACACCCAAACACCCTAAACTCGAAACCCTAAACCCTTAAACCCTAAACCCTAAACCCTAGACCCTAAACCCTAAACCCTAAACCCTAAACCCTACGCCGACACCTGAAAGGTGTGTCCACCGCTGCACCTCCGCGCCTGGGCAGCCCATTGGGTAGGGCTTACGGCTTAGGGCTCAGGGCTCCGGGCTTGGGGCTTGGGGCTTGGAGATTAGGGCTTTCCCTAAACCCTAAACCCTAAACCCAAACCCTAAACCCTAAACCCTAAACCCTAAACCCCTAGGGCTAAGGGCTTAGGGCTGGGCGGCCTCGGGCTTAGTCCTTAGGGACTAGCGCTTAGGGCTCAGGGCTTAGGTTTTAGGGCTTAGGGTTTCCCTAAACCCTAAACCCTAAACCCTTAGGGCTAAGGGCTTAGGGCTGGGCGGCATCGGGCTAAGGGCTTAGTGCTTAGGGCCTAGGGCTTAGGGCTCAGGGCTTAGGTTTTAGGGCTTAGGGTTTCGGGTTTTGGGGTTAAGGTTTAGTTTAAGCGTTCAGCTTCCCTGAGTCCGGCTGATGGTGGAGGTAAACTTAATGGGCGCCTGAACCTTAACCCAAAACCAGAAACCCCAGACCCTAAACCCTAAACTCTACTTGTGTGTTCTATTCCGGGAAACTCATTGCTTGTGGTGTCTATGAAAGTACTTCCGAACCTCGTAATTGAGTGGATTTCTTCATGTTGTTTTTGTTTCATCCTTTTCTTGTAGAGTGTGATGTGCAAACCCCCCAAACCCCCTATAGCTCCTTAAACCCCCACTACACTGGGTCAGGAGCGGAATATCCAAACAGCCCTTAACCCTAAACCCTAAACCCTGAACCCTAAACGAGGCCGACATCAGCAAGGTTGACCAGGACCCAGACGCTCAAGTGCACGAAATGCTGTGGAAGAAGGCCCGCCCCCAGTCACCTCCCACATCCCTCACCCCTCACCCAATGTAGAAGGCAAACCACTAAACCCTAAACTCCATATATATATATAATACTATGATTCTTATTATTGTTGTCATTATCATTACTATCATTGTTATTGTTGGTATTATTGTTGTTTTTGTTATTATTGTTAGTGTTGTTGCTATTCGTGTTATTATTGTTATTAGTGTTATTATTGTTATGAGTATTTGTCTAGGTATTCAACAAAATCAGCGCAAACCTCCAAGCCCTAAATCCCTAAACGCCACAGCCTGGGCGGCAGGTGCAGCTGGAGCTCGAAGGCTGCCGAGGGGTCTAGGGGTCTAGGGTTTTTAGGGTTTAGGGTCTAGGGTCTAGGGTCTGAGGTCTAGGGCTTTGCCAGCCCTTCCCCCCCCCAAAAAAAAAATAATAGTAAAAACGAACAAGAAAAAAACAACACACACACACACACACATATATATAAACAAAACTCTAGCCTCGCTATCCCCTTTAAAAAAACAACAACAAGTACGAATAGTATTTATAGATGAGATTAGTAAATATATAGGTGGTGCAATGTAAAGCCTAGACCTTGAAGGGGCTGTTGGATTGCGACGGACCTTTTTTGCACTGCTAGCTGGTCAGAAGACGATCTCCCCAGTCCCTGTTCACTCTAAACCCTAAACCCTAAACCCTAAACCCTAAACCCTAGACCCGGAGCCCTATAAAGCTTAAGCCCAAACCTAGACTCAGCCTTTCATTTGAAATCCAATATTATTATTTCTCCTAACTTTTGGTCTTTTATCACAGGTTTCTTTCACGCCGTTAATAAAAGTTCATGCGATCGCAGGCTCACTTATAACTTCATTAAGTTCATTCACAATAATCATCGTAATGAGAATATTAATCTCCTTGTCCGTACGTTCGTTTCGTTCTCTGCGAAAATCATGCGCTTACTTATATTTTGCTTGTTCACTCTGTATTCACTCCACTAAGGAGTTCTTTTGTCTGGCACGTTTCGTTCATTGGCCGCCTTCGCCCTAAACCGCCTAAACCTTAAGACCCTAAACCCTAGACCCATGTTGGTGCCCAGGGTTGAGGGTTCAGGGTTCAGAGTTATATGTCAGGGCTTGGGGTTTGTTCTCTGGGCCCAGAAGAGTCTTTAGAAACCTTCACGCTGTCTCAACCCTAAGCCCCAAGCCCCAAGACCTGAACCCTAAGCTCTAAGCCTGAAACCCTGAACCCTAAACCCCAAAACAGGGTTTAGGGTGTAGAACGTCCTCCGTGCCGAAGGCCTGCTCTTCTTCTTCAACTTCACCCTAAACCCTAAACCCTAAACCCTAAACCCTAAACCCTAAACCCTAAACCCTAAACCCTAAACCCTAAACCCTAAACCCTAAAAGGCCTGCTCTTCTTCTTCAACTTCCCTTTGGCCCACCTAGAGGCTTCTGGCTGGCCTCTGGTCCCTCGGTTTAGGGTTTAGGGTTTAGGGTTTAGGGTTTAGGGTTTAGGGTTTAGGGTTTAGGGTTTACGGTTTACGGTTTAGGGTTTAGGGTCTAGGGTTTAGGGTTTACGGTTTACGGTTTAGGGTTTAGGGTTTAGGGTTTAGGGTTTAGGGTTTAGGTGCATGTGGCTGTCGGAACTTCAGGGTGTTTAGGATTCAGGGGTTTTGGGATTAAGGTTCAGGGTTCACCGGGTTAGGGTTTAGGGTAACCCTAAAATCCTCCAGAAAGCCGGCCTTTGGGTTTTCGGTCCAGGCCCTCGAAACCCCAGAAACCCTCCAACAACTTTTGACCTGAACGCGTGACAAACCCTATCACCCAAACTCCACAACCCCCACGAAGCCAAATCAACCCTACAAAACCTGAACACCTTAAACACCCTGAACCTACAAGCTCTATCAGCCTGTAAAATACACCCTAATTAAAAACTTTTGCATCGGAATACCCTTGTGATAAACATCTAAAACTTTAAGCCCAAATAGAAACCTTTGTACATCCCCAAAACCTTATTTAAAGAATAAACCTCCCCTTAAAATCCTGATAAACTGCAGAGTTTAATCAACACAAACCCTACAAGCTAGGATGTTCCCCCTTTATACTACCAGTCCTTAAAGGGATTATATAGAAGCCCCCTATGATAGTCCCTATTAAGGACTGTTAGTATAAGGAGGAACATCCCAACCTGAAACCTTACCTAAACCCTCAACCCTAAACCCCTACACCCTAAACCCTAGACCCTAAACCCTACACCCCAAACCCTAAACCCTAAACCCCAAACCCTAAACCCCAAACCCTAAACCCTAAACCCCAAACCCTAAACCCCAAACCCTAAACCCTAAACCCCAAACCCTAAACCCCAAACCCTAAACCCTAAACCCCAAACCCTAAACCCAAAACCCTAAACCCTAAACCCTAAACCCTAAACCCCAAACCCCAAACCCTAAACCCTAAACCCTAAACCCTAAACCCTAAACCCTAAACCCTAAACCCTAAACCCTTAGGTGGCCTTCCTGCGCAAGCTGGGGAGCGCGTTTTGGCAGACCTTCGGCGGCGCGGTGCCCAACGAGTGCGACCTCCTGGATGGCGAGAGGCACTTTGCGTTTGGGGTTTAGGGTTTAGGGTTTAGGGTTTAGGGTTTAGTGTTTAGGGTTTAGGGTTTAGGGTTTAGGGTTAAGGATCCATTAAGGTCCTTGGTAGGCCCTTCCTTGAAGACCAAATGAACACGAACATTGGGGGGGGGGGGGGTCATCTACCCTCTACCGCGATAATTCCTGTTGAGGTGCATGAATTGGGATGTTCCACCCTATGCTAACAGTCCTTAAAATAAGGATTTTGATAGGGGGGTATACTTTAATCCCGATTAAGGACGGCTAGTATATGCGGGCAAGATCCCAATGCGTGAACCATAAATACCCTTTTTTGGGGTGCATTTGGGTCCCCAAGGTTGGATATGTTTCCTTTTTGGGGGCTTTGGAGGATCGTTTAGGGTTTAGGGTTTAGGGTTTAGGGTTTAGGGTCTAGGGTCTAGGGTCTAGGGTGTTTGGGAAAGTGTGTTGATCGTTTAGGGTTTAGGGTTTAGGGTCTAGGGTGTTTAGGAAAGTGTTTTTGTTCAGAGAGTTTAAAGATCCCTCCCAGGGTCGATGTACGGGAAAGCTTAGGGCTTGGGGTGGGAAGGCTTGGGGTGTTCCAAGGGTAGTTTCATGGGCCCTTAATTTGGTGCCTCAGCTTATGGGCCCTTAATTTGGCTATATGAGAGGTATAAAAGGGGGGCCCCTTTTAGGGGCCCATATAACGGGACCATGGGGTTTAAGGTTTAGGGTTCTGGTTCAGGGTTGAGGGTTCTTTCCAGAACCAGTGGTGCTTATTGGCAGTAGATGAAGCAGGTCTTTTCCAGCAAACAAGTTTGTGATCAGGGTAGTTTTCGTCGCGAAGCAGAAGCCGATGTAGACATGGCACAGAGGCGTGCGCGTTTTCGAGGGTTTAGGGTTTAGGGTTTAGGGTTTAGGGTTTAGGGTTTAGGGTTTAGGGTTTAGGGTTTAGGGTTTAGGGAGAATGTCTCCTCTCTGCAAGAAGCTCAACTTGCAGAGCAAACATAAACAGGCGAACAAGAGCCATGCAGTCGCTGGATGATGCTCTATTCCCTGCCGTGCTCCGCAATGTCCGGGGCATCCCTAAACCCTAAACCCTAAACCCTAAACCCTAAACCCTTTTGCCACACGATGCCCAGTCAGACTCTCGGGACGGCGCGTTTGCCCTGTGCATGTCGCTGATTCCAGCCGGAGGTCAAGATCGTGATGCTTCTCTAGGTGCTTAGGGTTTAGGGTTCAGGGTTTAGGGTTTAGGGTTTAGGGTTGCAGTTTCCCTGCTCGGGTGTAAGAGGATCATATTCAGGAACATCTTTTGGAGGGTTTTAAGAACCCTGAACCTCATCGTGCCATTATAGGGTGCCCTATGCCAGAAGATGCTGGCAGTGCACTCGTCTGTTTCCGCAAACCCTAAACCCTAAACCCTCTGTTGTTGGAGTAGAGATTGCTAACCAAAACAAATGTTTCTGTTTCGCGAGGAGGCCCGATATAGATTGATCCCGAAGCTTTTGAGGGTTTAGGCTTTTTGCGTTTTGGAAGTAGGGTTTGGGGTTTTAGGATATTTCGGGGCCTAGGGGTTTAGGATCTCAGGGTTTCATAGAGCTTTTAGGGGGGGGGGGGTTAGGGTTTAGGGTTTAGGGTTTAGGGTTTAGGGTTTAGGATTTAGGGTTTAGGGTTTAGGGTTTAGGGGTGTAGGGTTTCAGGCTTCACGCGCTCCCCCATTGCCAGGGCCGATGTGCTGCACGCACGCATGGCGCCTCTGCTGGAGGATCGGGGTTTGCGGGGGGGGGGGGGGGGGGGGGGGGGGGGGGGTTTAAGGTTTAGGGTTTAGGGTTCGGGTTTCGGGTTTCGAGTTTTTGGTTTAGGGTTTCGGGTGTAGGGTTTAGGATGCCGAGGGTTTATAGGGTCGGGAGGGTTTTTGAGGGTCGTGCAGGGGTTGTATAGGGCTTGATAGGGTGCCCTACCCTGGAACCATAAAACCCGAAGCCTCTAAACCCTAGACCTAAATGGTAGACCCTGAACCCTAAACCTACCCGCTAAGCCCGAAACCCTCCGTTCGCTCTATGTATGGGCCCTTAATTTGTGCAGGGTATATCAGGGGCATAGAAGGGGTACCCTGATAAATGGGCCCATGCGAAGGGACCATGGAACTCCCTAAACCCTAAACCCTGAACCCTAAACCCTAAACCCTAAACCCTAAACCCTAAACCCTAAACCCTAAACCCTTAGATTCGCCGGCAGGATCGCACCCTTGATCTGCGTGAGATCAAGGACGCGGCCGAGGCGGCACAGCGCCACCCGACAGCAGGGGGTGGTTTAGGGGGGCTTAGGATATAAGGATTTGGGAGGTTTAGGGGCTTAGGGATTTCGGGTTTCGGGCTTAGAGGGGATTACGGGCTTATAGGGTTTAGGGGTTTAGGGTTGGGGGTTTTAAGATTTACTGGGGGTTTCCGGAGGTTTCAGGGGGCTAGTTGGGCTTCTGAGAGAGGGAAGCCTTCCCCTCGGCCCTCAGCCCTCAAGACGCCAGGCCCTAAAGCTAAACCACTGCAACCCCTAAAGCCCTGAAGCCTTAAAACCGCTCAACCCACTAAGTTAAGGGTTTAGGGCTTAAGCTTTATGCGCCCACAACCTCAGTAGAATCGCTGATGCAACCTTATAACCTGCTGGCGCGAGGTTCCTTGAGACCTCCAGGTCTCGCAGCCCTGCAGCCCTTGCAGTTCTTTAAGGTTTAGGCGTGTTTGGGACTTTGCAGGGCTTATGGTGGTTAGGGTCTCCAGGGTCTAGAGCACAAGGGCTTTAGGACTTTAGGATTTTAGGACATGAGGCGTCCAGAGCCTCACAATTGGTGTTTAGGGCTTTCGATGTTTTGGCAACAACAACAACAACAACCTAGAACCCCCCCCCCCCCTCCCCCCCCCTCCGCCCCCCTTCTTCCCCCCCCGTCCCCCCCCGTCCCCCCCCGTCCCCCCCCGTCCCCCCCCCCCGTCCCCCCCCGTCCCCCCCCGTCCCCCCCCCGTCCCCCCCCGTGCCCCGCCTTGTCCCCCCCCGTCCCCCCCCGTCCCCCCCCCCCCCCGTCCCCCCCCGTCCCCCCCCCCCCCCTCCAAAAAAAACAAGAGAAAAAAATAAGAACGCCCAGATCCTAAACCCTGAGCCCATACGGCCTTCGATGCCCCTTGAAGGCTTCCTGGATCTCAAAGATGCCTGCCCCTTTGCCACCGGAGCTGCCATGTGCCTTTCATTCGTTTATTTAGGGTTTAGGGTTTAGGCTTTAGGGTTTACGGTTTAGGGTTTAGGGTTTAGGGTTTAGGGTTCAGGGTTCAGGGTTTAGGGTTTAGGGTTTGGGGTTTAGGGTTTAGGGTTAAAAGTTAAAAGGGTTAGGGTTTAGGGTTTAAGGGTTTAAGGGTTCTGGTGTTGGGTTCAAGGGGGGTATGTAACCTAAGGTTCCCTAACACTCCACACTACTCCCAAAGGCTCCCTAAGCCCTACCCCCGCAATGAACCCCCCCCCCCCCCATGGGTGGGCTTTCGGGTTCTGAGGAGCTCCATCACTTTGAGGCCTGAAGTTCTTTGTGCCCTCGTGCTTAGTTTTTGCGTGGGTTGAGGGTTTGAGGCTTTTAGGCTTTAGGGCTTCGAGGTTTTCAGTCTTTAGGGCCTCCAGCAGGCACTGTAAGGGCCCAGGATTTTTTAAAGAAAGAGTCGGAACTCTGGCTCCAACGTCTCCAGCTAGGAACCACTATAGAAGCACAAACATACCCGAGCTGCCCTAGCGTTTAGGGTTTAGGGTTTAGGGGTTTAGGGGTTTAGGGGTTTAGGGGTTTAGGGGTTTAGGGTTTAGGGTTTAGGGTTTAGGGTTTAGGGCCCTCAGGATGTTCCATGCAAAGATGCAGCAGCCACGTGAGGCTGGTACTCCTGCGCTCCGTGCAGCTGTCGAGCCAGATGGCCATGGAGGCCAGCTTGTTGCGGTTTAGGGTTTAGGGTTTAGGGTTTAGGGTTTAGGGTTTAGGGTTTAGGGTTTAGGGTTTAGGGTTTAGGGTTTAGGGTTTAGGGTTTAGGGTTTAGGGTTTAGGGTTTAGGGTTTAGGGTTTAGGGTAGCAAGATGGCCATGCAGGCCAGCCTGGGCTGGCTTTCATCAGCAGGGACTCTCTTCGTGTGTTTATCGGGTTCTTAAGGGAGGGGGGTTCAAGGGGGGTAGGTAACCCAAGGTTCCCTAATACCACTACTCCCTGAGGCTCCCTAAGCTGCCCTAAGGTTCCCTACTTGAAGGTTCATGGTACTTAGTAACCAATTATAACTGTACTTATAACCATATTAGGGCAGTTAGGGGGCTTATAAGTACAGTTATAAGTACAGTTATAATTGGTTAGTAAGTACCATGAACCTTCAAGTAGGTACCTACCCCCCTTGAACCCCCATCCCTTAAGAACCCTATAAGGGTTAGAGTCTGCTGGATTGTTCCTTTGGGCACTTCTGCAGGATTCATATCCTAAACCCTAAACCCTAAACCCTAAACCCTAAACCCTAAACCCTAAACCCTAAACCCTAAACCCTAAACCGCAAGGAGCCCAAAAGGGAATCCTTGGGAGCCTTAGGGAGTCTCGGTCGCCGCTTGAACCCCAGCCCTCCCCGAAAGAAATGCGGTTTAGGGTTTAGGGTTTAGGGCTTAGGTTTGGGGACCCCTAAAACCTAAAGTCATTGTGGAACTCTTTAAGAGCCGCAAGCCAAGGTGTTTTTGGGCTTCTGGTTTGTCTTGGAAATTGCGGAATCTTAGGAGTTCGCGGAAGGCTGTCCCTGCCTGCGTGTTAGACATCTCGACATTTCCTGCAATGCTGGTTACTCCCCAAAATCCCTAATTCACTAAAGCCTAAAAAACCCCTTTTTGTTCAGCATTTCGTCTGCATCTCCAGCTGATTTGCTCAAGAACTAAACCCTAAACCTTTGACCCTATATAAACCCTGAACTCTACTAAGCCTTACTAAGCCCTAAACCCTGAACCCTCAAACTATCGCTGGAGACCCTTTGCTGCTCAGGAGACGGACTTCTCCTGGCTGGTCCTGGATGCCTACAGTCTCAGGATTTAGAGTTTAGTGTTTAGGCCTTAGGCTTTATAGGATTTCGGGTAATTCGGGCTTAGGCGCGCGAAGTTCCCTGTAACCCTCAACCCTATACCCCATGGTACTTTAAGGGCTACCTTGGTTGGACTCCCGCCCTCTTTCAGGGAGAGGGTTTAGGGTTTAGGGTTTAGGATTTAGGGTTTAGGGTTTAAAGGGTTTAGGGTTTAGGGTTTAGGGTTTAGGGTGTAGAGTAACTGCCGAGATGCTAGGCTCATAGGGTCATCTGGGTTGTTTGGGAGCCCTAATCACGAAAAGCCCCTGTTTCCTGCACCCGCTATATACTTCCAGGTCCCTATGAGATGTGTTATAACAATGTTGGTCTTCCTTACTTCTAGAGACCCCATCGCAGTGTGTCGGGTTTCAGATTAAGGGGCAGGGGTTGAGGCGATGTTGTCCAGGCTGCATGTTGGAATCGTAGGATTTCTGGGTTTATCTATTCGTCGTTCTTCTGTTTGGGGCGTCTCCGCGTGGTATGGCGAAGCAAAACAAACCAGGCAAGCCAGCAGATACAACTCCACGCTTTTTGCATGTCTTGCTGTTTGGGATTCGGGGTTTAGGGTTTCCAGGGTTTGAAACACCTCGGAAAGGACAAGGAGGTACGATATGCTCCAGGAAAGTCCTTGAAGAGGCAACGCACCAACCCTACAGGCTCCAAACATTAAAACCCTAATCTTAAAAAACCCAAACCCTAAACCTTAAACCTTAAACCTTCAACCCTAAACCCTAAACCCTAAACCCTAAGCCTGCCCCAAAGAACAAGCGTAACCGCTGGCTGCCAATGGTGCAACCCAGTGCTCTCAGAGTCATGCGTTGAGGGTCTAGGGACTCGCTCCTTACCGACACGAATCTCCCCCCTTCGTATCATAGCTCAGGGCTTAGGGTCAAGGGTTCGAGGGTTCAGGGTTCAGGGTTTAGTGTTTAGGGTTCAGGGTTCAGGGTTTAGGGTTAGGGTTTAGGGTTTAGGGTTTAGGGTTTAGGGTTTAGGGTTTAGGGTTTAGGGTTTAGGGGGCCCTGAGCCGAGGCCATCAAAGTCTGGGACGTCCTCAGCGGCTCCAGGGTGGGAGCGAAGCGGCGCATCTCGTTCATCTGGCTGGTTCTTAGTCGGTTTAGGGTTTAAGGTTTGGGGTTTAGGGTTTAGGGTTTAGGGTTTAGGATGTTTTGGTCTAAACCCACCTCGGGGCCATGTCGTCACCCTCAATGGTTTAGGGTTTAAGGGTTATAGGTTCCCTTTTTGAGAAGTTTAGGGTTTAGGGTTTAGGGTTTAGGGTTTAGGGTTTAGGGTTTAGGGAATTACGCTTCTAAACCCAGCATCCGAGGCAGAGGCCCAGAAAGCTGGTGAAAAGACCAGCGGAATCAGGTATGCTACAAGCCTTTCAGCTATATAAACCCCAATATCCCATTTGATGGCACCTCCTTTAGTCCCTAAATATCGCGAAACATCCCCGAACTGGGCGTTCAGGGTTTGGGGTCTATAGGCGTTTCTCTAGTGGACGACATGAACCATCAACAAGGTCTCTCTCTCTCTCTCTCTCTCGCTCTTGTTTCTGTTTCTCTCTCTTTTCTATTTCTCTCTCGCTGTCTCTCTCTCTGTCTCTCTCTCTCTTTCTCTCTCTCTGGCTTTCTAAATGGGTATAGTGTAGTAAGTCTATATATATGTATATACATACATATCCATATGTATGTAGTCTTTAAGGCGGTCAGAGGGCGGATGTTGCGGCAGTGTAGGGTGGAATTGGGACCCAAAATGGTCGCTGGTCTTGAAAAGGTTCGGGTGGACTTGCGGCGTTTTCGATACTTCTATCGTAGATCCTTGGAGATTTAGGGTTTAGGGTTTAGGGTTCAGGGTTTAGGGTCTAGGGTCTAGGGTGTAGGGTTGTGGGGCCGTGTAGGGGCTTGCACGCAGAAGCCACAACCTTGACGACGACATGAACCCAAAAGTTTGGGCACCCAAAATACACCACCAGGTGCATATGGACCATAAACTCTTTCATGACAGTGTTCTTTAGGGTTTAGGGTTTAGGGTTTAGGGTCTAGGGTTTAGGGTTTAGGGTTTAGGGTTACGTTAGGGTTCTTCAGGGAGGGGGGTTCAGGGGGGGGGGGGGGGTAGGTACCGGAAACTTAGGGAAGCTTCGGAAACCTTAGGGAGCAGCAGGGAGTATTAAGAGAAGCTTGGATTACATACCCCCCTTGAACCCCCCTCCCTGAAGAACCCTAACCCTAACCCTAAATCCTAAACCCTAATCCCTAAACCCTAAACTTGTGCACTTCGTCCCCAAAGAAGTGGCCCACACTGGAAGCACAGTCATGCTAGAGGCTACTTCTACGACGCCCTGACGACGCGTTGGCCGCTGTTCGGCTGCTTTAGGGTTTGGGGCTCTGGGTTGAGGGTTGAGGGTTGAGGGTTTAGTGTTTTAGGGTTTAGGGTTTACGGTTGAGGGTTGAGGGTTTAGTGGTTTAGGGTTTAAGGTTTACGGTTGAGGGTTGAGGGTTTAGTGTTTCAGGGTTTAGGGTTTAGGGTTTAGGGTTTGGGGCTCAGGGTTCTTTTAACCTAATGTGGGTTCAGGGTTCAGGGTCGAGGGTTTAGGGTTTAGAGCAATTCTCCAAATTGTTCTCTCTAGTTTGGTACGCCTAACCCTAAACCCTATACCCTAAACCCTAAAGCCCTGAAGTACCCTAGTACGTACCTCAGGAAGCTTCCAAGCCTGACATCTATCTGTGGAGACGGCCAACTTTGGCAGCCTTGTGCCCCTAAACCCTAAACCCTAAGCCCTAACCCTAAACCCTTAACCCTAAACCCTAAACCCTAACCCTAAACTTGAAACCCTAAACCGTAAACCTCTCCCAAAAACCCAAATCCTAAATCCTAAATCCATAAATTCAATCCCTAAAACCTAAACTCTAAACCTTCCCGAAGAAGGAAGAATAGAAAACACACGAAAATTTACAAACTTTGTTGGACATGTTGAGTGTAGTGAGCTATTTGACAAAACGCAAGTCTCCCAACCCCTCAGCCCATGGACCTTGCCTTACGATCCTAGACCCGAAAGCCCCATTACCTAAACCCTTCCTGGTACCGTTTCATCAGCTATTTGGAAAGAAGAAGAAATGAGAAACAACCGCAAAAGCTCCAACAGGAAAAATAATACATCCATTAACCTGTTCTGGTGAAAGTACGTCAACGGTGAAACATGCAAAGCATATATATATATATATATATCCCTAAACCCTAAACCCTAAACCCTAAACCCTAAGAAGTGAATCAGTCAGTACATCATGGTCGATTCCCAAACTAAGAAGAATAAGAAAACATCGAACCAAGAAGCACAGCGACATCATTCAAGGTGGAGAATGGCAGCTCAATCAGTTCTACGTTTTGAAACCAAGAGAGAGCACCCAGCCGGTGTAACCCTAGCCCTAAACCCTAAACCCTAAACCCTAAACCCTAAACCCTAAACCGTGTTGCCTAAACCCTAAACCCTAACCCCTAAACCCTAAACCCTAAACCCTGAACCCTGAACCCTAAACCCTAAACCCTAAACCAAACCGTGTTGCCTAAACCCTAAACCCTAAACTGCAGGCACCAAGTTGCCTTTGAAAAAAGCCGCCAAGGTGGCTTCAGCTCATTCAGCAGGTCCATGCTGGTCGAGGACGTGGCAATGCTTCTGTTGGGGTGTAGGGTTTAGGGTTTAGGGTTTAGGGTTTAGGGTTTAGGGTTTAGGGGTTTAGGGTTTAGGGTCTTAGGGGTTTAGGGTTTAGGGTCTAGGGGTTTAGGGTTTAGGGTTTAGGATTCAGGGTTTAGGGTTTAGGGTTCAGGGTTCCAGTGTTTAAGGGTTTAGGGGTTTAGGGTTTAAGGGGTTAGGGGTTTAGGGGTTTAGGGTTTAGGGTTTAGGGTTTAGGGGTTTAGGGTTTCGGGTTTAGTGGTTTAGGGGTTTTGGGTTTAGGGTTTAGGTTTTTGAGGGGTTCAGCGCTTGGACCCTAAACCTTATCATCAGCGGGCAGACAGACCCCCGAGCTGCCCCTACCGTCGTGTCCATCGTTGCTCCTCCGCACCCAGAAAGTCAACCTTAAACCCTACAACCCTGAACCCCTAAACCCTAAACCCTAACCCTAAACCCTAAACCCTAAACCTTTAACCCCTGAAACCCTAAACCCCATTTTTGGGGGACAACCCTTACCCCTGAAACCCCCATTTTTGGGGGACAACCCTATCCCCTGAAACCCTAATCCCCACTTTTTGGGGACAACCCTTACCCCTGAAACCCTAATCCCCACTTTTTGGGAGGTTGCCGGGGGCACAGGGTTTTGCAATCAGGAGAGCGCGATCGGGCCCTTTGGCCTGTGGACGCGGAAGCTTTCCGCCCAGAGCAGGCTCGTGGGGACCGGCAGGGTTTAGGGTTTAGGGTATAGGGTTTAGGGTTTAGGGTTAAGTAGGGTTTTAGGGTTGAGCTATAGGCTAGGCGCGATACCTTAGGGGCTGTAGTGGCTGGAGAAGCTGTAGGGGCTGCCGAGCTATAGGGGCTAGAGAGGCTAAGGTTTAGGGATCTCGTTGACACGTGTCGAGTGCCTTGAAACTCCGAACAGTCTTTATAGTATATTTCCCTACCCCCTTTTCCTTTGGGATTTTTTTCTTAGGAAGAAAACTTGCCAAGACGTTCTCAGCTTGCCTCCCAGTGTAACATACCTCAGCCCATCAAAAAACTCTGTCAGCCGAATAGTCACCGGAACCGCGGGCCAAGCGTAAAGAATCTCAGCAAAGAGCTACTACCCCTAAGGGTCCATGTACCTTATTATTATATACTTAGACCCAAAAGTCCTTATATAGGAAGTAATTTAAGGCCCAAGTATTCCATAATTAGGTACATGGACCCTTAGGGTACTTGCCGCAATGTGCACCCCTTCACACCCCGGGGGTCAAGCTCAGATTCTGCATTTTCTACTTGGGGGTCGGGGGGGGGGGGGGGGGGGGTCCCCCCTTAAGGGAAGGGGGATGCCCTTGACCCGGATAAGTCTTTCAGTCTCGGGTCACCAGCAATTTAGGGTTTAGGGTTTAGGGTTTAGGGTTTAGGTTTTAGGGCTTCTAAAGGTCTGGTTTGCCAGCTGCTCAGTGGGAGGTCAGCGACCGCTGTGAGGAGCGGGTTCTTTCGTCCATCGCGGCATGGCATGAGATATGGGCTTAGGGTTCGGTTTAGGGTTTAGGGTTTCGGGTTTTAGGTCTAGGTTTGGGGCTTAGGGTTTAGGGTTTTGGGTTTAGGGCTTAGGGCTTAGGGTTCGGAGTTAAGGGTTCAGCAGTTGCAACCCTAAACTCTGCACTCAGGATTCATGGCGATGGCAGTGGACGGACTCTCCTTTTCAGGTGGGGTTTAGGGTTTCGGGTTCAGGGTTGAGGGTTTAGGGTTTTGGAGTAAGAGCTCCGAGTGGGTCATGTTGTTTGAATACGAACCTGGAGTTTAGGGTTTCGGGCTTAGAGTTGAGGGTTTGGGGAGAGTTCGACACGGAGTCAGGGCGCCGAGGGGGCCCCAAAGGAATTTCAGTTTAATCAAGCAGGAGGCGTGCCCGGCCCTAGGCACGGTATTCGAGCCGGCGCCCTTGCCCCTAAACCACTTCCGTAAACCTCTATCGAGTGCGCTCTGGTCTGTGGCTTGCCGTCTCTACACTGTAGGAAGGTTTTAGGGCTTAGGGTTTCGGGTTTCGGGTACAGCTACGCAGAACTGCTGGAGCTGGGAAAGTCTACGCTGCGCAGCAGTCACTAACCCTAAACCCTAAACCAGGATGACCTAAACCCTAAACCCTAAACCCTGAGTTGTTGCAGGCACACGGCAAACGCTTGGAGGAGCCCGAATCGCCCGAGGTCGGGACTAGGGCTACAGGCGTTGAGGGCTTAGGGTTTAGGGTTTAGTGTTTAGGGTTTAGGCTTCTTCTGAAGTCGTAGCTTGTTGGGGGTTTAGGGTTTGCGGTTTGGGTTTTCGGGTTTAGGGTTTTACCTTATTGGGGTTTCTTACCTCCTATATGCAGTTCCTCTAAGATTGTGAAAAACTACGAATTTCGGATGCAACGACCAATCCCAAATAAACAGGAAGAAAGCCTGCGCGGCACCCTGGTGGAAATCTTAGAGTCTAAATAAACCACCCTAAACCCTAATCCCTTCTGAAGCTGTGTGAACTTCGACCTGACACGCTTAGGTTCTTGGATTTAAAGGAGTTGGGATTTTGTTTGCGTAAGCTACATGGGAGGGACCCCCTTCCTCTTTTGTTTTAACGCCAGCCGAGTCAGTAGGTTCCTTACTTGGTTTCCTTGAAACCCAAAACCCGAAACCCTAAACCCTAAACCCTAAACCCTAAACCCTCGGGTTTAGGGTTTACCTCAGAGGACGACTTTATAAGAAACCAAGCCCGAGAGGCCCTGGCGCGGACGTTGTGCCGACTGGCGGGGGCAGAAGTGCTGCTCCTTGGTGCAGGCTTAGGGTCTTGGAGGGAGGTGGAGAGGTTAGGGTTTAGGGTTTAGGGTTTAGGGTTTAGGGTTTAGGGTTTAGGGTTTAGGGTTTAGGGTTTAGGGTTTAGGGTTTAGGGTTTAGGGTTTAGGGTTTAGGTTCTTGCGAAGGTTTTTACTACGGGGTTGAAAGGTTGAGTGGTGTCACGTTTTCTAGGGTGACGTTTCTGAGATGTTCGGGTTGCGGGATTTGGCCCTTCGGGTTTTCAGTTGAGGAGTTGCAGTCGAATTTCGAGGTTGGAGTTGCCGGAGTTGGGGTTTGGTTGGAGTTGCGGTGAGAGGCTGTACAAATCATCACTACATCACTGTCCAACTCAGGTCCCGCAGCTTAACCCCGAACCTTGCCTTGAACGCTAGTCCTTACACCCTGAACCCTCTACTCCAACCCCCTTCCACCTCTAACCCTTGAGCCCGAAACCCTCCCTCTATGGCTACTGGAAGAAAGTCGAGCTCATGAAGCAATTGAGCGTGTATGGCGAGAACACCTGTGCACAGAAAGGTCTAGGGACTTGAACGGCGTTGTGATGTGGACAAGGGAAGCTTTGCGCAAAGGTTGGGTTGGGAAACGAGTGCTGACGAGACCTTGGACCCTGCGTTTCGGCCTCGAGATGCTCTCATTGTGTCATTGAGCTTAATTATCACCGGGGAGGATCCAAAAAGTAGATCCCTCTAAGGGGTCCTAAAACTGACCCAATAGTAGTTCAGGGTACTACTTTTTGGATCCTCCCAGGGGTCTGGGTATCGGGGCAATCCGAAGAACTTTCATGCTGAGCTGTTCAAGGAGCTCGTCAAACGCCGCTTTGCAGGAAGAATCAATCAGAAGCCTCAGCTTGCGCTGTGCGGATCCTGTTGATGAATCCTGTTTTGAAAGGTACCTGAAAGGGTTCTCTGCTTGACCTGGAAACCCAGGCGCCTCTCTGAACCCCTAAACTCTACAAACCCGTAAACCTTTCAACGCGAAACCCCTGAGCCCTGAACAGAGCCCTAAACTCCTAAGGCCTTACACCCAAAACCCTGAACAGAACCCTAAACTCCTAAGGCCTTAAACCCAGAACAGAACCCTAAGCTCGTAAAGCCTTAAACCCAAAGCCCTGAACAGAACCCTAAACTCCTAAGGCCTTAAACCCAAAAGAGCCCACGCACCAGCAGGTTTATCAGCGGCACCTCATCTGGCTACAAGCGACTCGGCGGTGAGTTCGGGCCGAGTGTGGGATGACCCCTAAGGTGAACGACTTACGTACATTTGAGGGCTTAGGGCTTAGGGTTTGGGGTTTTAGGGTTTATGGTTTTAGGTTTTCGGTTAGGGTTTAGGGTTCAGGGTTTGGGGATTCACGAAGTTTTTGGGTACCTTATAGGGGTCCTTATTCTAAAGGGATCCTACTATTTGGGGGTCTATTTTTGGATTCCGCTGTTTTCGTAAACCGCTATTTGAGGGTTGGGCTTTTTTAGGTTTAGGGTTGTTTCGGGGCGTTTAGCAAATTACGTGTTGTCAAGGGTTGGGGTTGTTAGGGGACAGGGTTGTTTTAGTTTTTGTTCTTGCGTGGGCTTTCTGGCTTCAGGTGTTCAGGGGCCCTCCCGTGTGCTCCCAGTCGCCGTGCACATATATACACGGAACAGCTGAGGAAGATCTGCCGATGTTGTTAATTTTGATGTTTGTTGGCTGCCCCTGGCGTCTGGACCACTTTCTGGGAAACAGCTCCTTCAGCCGATTTGGCCCTGCATGGAGATCTCAAGATCCGTCGTTGTTTCATCTCAAGTCCGGCGTGTTCTTCCCCACGGATATGTAACCTAAACGAGCCCACGTTAGACAAACCAAGCGCGGCCCAAAGCCTGTTACTTAATACTGAACCAAAGAACCACGAGCTTCTTTAACATTGCTCAACGGCATCGGAAAGCCCTTGAATCTTGAGGCTCTCCACCAGAGCCCTCTCCCTGAACCGCTTAAACCTCAAAGCCAATCCTCTTAAAGACGCAGTTCCCTTGCTGGGTTGGGTTTTCGGGTTTGGGGTTGGGAGGTTCCCCTTATAATACGAACGGTCCTTAAGAGGGATTTTCGTACCCCATACGATGTTCCCTATTGAGGACTGTTAGTACAAGGGGGAACATCCCAACCTCAAACCCTAAACCCTAAACCCTAAACCCTAAACCCTAAACCCTAAACCCTAAACCCTAAACCCTTAGGTGGGGTTTCAAGTTTTAAGGTTCAGGTCCCTTTTGCGTGCAGAACCGGACGAACCCGATGTTGAAGGGCACCTAGAAAGGGGATCCAAGGAGGACAGCATCCCTCACCCTAAACCCGGAACCCTGGACCCTAGACCCTAAACCCAAAACCCTAAACCCGAAACCCTAAACCCTAAACCCTAAACCCTAAACCCTAACCCTAAACCCCAGTAGGAAACCCAGGGCCCTGAGTGGTTGGCGCAGGTGGGGCTCCTTCACTGTCCGAGGCCGACAGGCACGACCATAGGATGTAGGGTGTAGGGTTTCGGGATTAGGGTTTAGGTGTTCAGGGCTTCGGGTTTAGGGCCCCCAGTGTTTGGGGCATAGGGTTTCGGGATTTAGGGTTTAGGGCATAGGGTTTAGGGTGAAGTTTTTCAGGGTTGAGTTTTTAGAGTGCAGGGCTTCGGGTTTGAGAGGTGTCGTTTGGGATGCCATGAGCAGCGGTTTAGGGTTTCAGGTTTTCAGGTTACAGGTTTCAGGGTTTAGTGTTCATGGTCTCCCGACCCCAATTCCCCAGCTTGAAAGACAGGGGGTCGGGGTTTATATGTTTTTTTTCTAGACTGTTTATCCCCACCCTCGGTGTGGGGTTGCTAGATTTTAAACTCAACTCTGCTCCTCGCCCGAAACTCTTCTGATCGCCCGGAACTCTTCTCCTCGCCCGGTCTCCTGGAGTGCCCAGCCCCAAAGTGTCCCTGGAGTGCGCAACTCTAGAGGGTGTCTCTGGAGTGCCCAACGGAGTGCCCAACCCCAGAGTCTCCCTAGAGTGCCCAACCCCCGAGTGTTGCCAAACCCTAGAGTATCTCTACCAAGAGAGGGCGGGGATGTTCGAAGTAAAATAATTTCGTAGGCTCTTCTGGGTCCCGTGATATAAAACCCTTCTAACTACACAAAAGAAGAAGCCGTCCTTCGGATCCCTCTAAGCAAGGGCAAGGGACCATAGCAAGGGCCCATGATTCCAGCCCTAAACCCTAAACCCTAAACCCTAAACCCTAAACCCTAAACCCTAAACCCCAAACCCTAAACCCTAAACCTTAAACCCTAAGGATAGCCTCCCTCAGGGTTCTCACAAGGCGGCGCGGGGTTTGCGCCAGCTGTTTCCCGCTGGCCCTGCCATTCACGCTCGGGCGTGGAATCAGAGCCTTGGGAAGACCTAAGGGTTTAGGGTTTAGGGTTTCGGGGTTTCGGGGTTTCGGGGTTAGGGGTCTAGGGTTTAGGGTTTAGGGTTTTGGGTTTTGGGTTTTGGGTTTGGGTTTTGGGTAACTACCTCAGATCACCCTGTATAGCCCTTATGGGATTTTTACGGGCCCGACTTCCCAAGCTCTCTACAAAGAGCCAGTCGGATGTTCTCTCATAGGTACGTTAACCCTGGAATCCGGCATGTCTTGGGGTAGCTTCATGGTCCCTTAGGGTTTAGGGTTTAGGGTTTAGGGTACCTTAGCTGCTTCAAAGGGTTCTGAAGTATGGGCCCTTGGGTTGTACAGGGTACATAAGGGGCATATAGTGGTTCGGAAGGTTTCAAAATTTTCAGGGCCATCCGATCTTCGGAGGTTGAAGGTCCTAAACCCGCAACTCACCGTCTGTATGGCCTCTACCGCCTTTTCATCGTAGATGCCCTAAACCCTAAACCCTAAACCCTAAACCGTAAATCCGAAACCCTAGACCGCCAAACCCGGGTCTGGCGCTGAAGGAACTGCAAGAGCTGGTGTGATGATCGAGTGGCATATGGGGCCAACTGGTCGGACCCCGTGGCCATCATCCACGTCAAGCGCCCCACCTTGAACCCTAAACCCCCAAACCCCAAACCCCAAACCCTAAACCCTAAAAGCCCTAAACCCCAAACCCTAAACCCTAAACCCTAAACCCCAAACCCCAAACCCTAAACCCTAAACCATAGGCCCCCCCCCCCCCCCCCCTACACTGTGGCGGTGCTAGACCCGGATGTGCGAGGCGCCCTCCTTGTTCTCTTTTGTTGCTCTGGGGCTCAACTGCCTTCTGGCCCGAACCCTAAACCCTGCTGAACAGCAAGGCGCCCTGTATTTCTTCAGTTTGGGGTTTAGGGTTTAGGGTTTAGGGTTTTAGGGTGTTAGGGTTTTAGGGTTTTTGGGTTTCAGGGTTTTAGGGTTTCAGGGTTTTAGGGTTTTAGGGTTTTAGGGTTCTAGGAATTTAGGGTTTACGGTTAGTAGCAAGGGCCGGGCCGAAGGCACCAGAATGTTAATACACAGTAGGTCCCTTGACCAGGGTTTAGGGTTTAGGGTTTTGGGTTTTGGGTTTTGGGTTTTGGGTTTAGGGTTTAGGGTTTTGGGTTTGGGGGTTTTGCCGGGCACCTCAATCCTAAATCCTACACCCTAGAGGTTTGGGGTTTAGGGCTTAGGGGTTGTAAGGGGGGCCCCCTCCCCTCCCTGTAGATAAGGCAAGGTGGCTGGTGTGCAGCGAAAAAACTTGTCCAGAGGCCCCGAAACCCTCGGTCCAACCTCGGACAAGCCTGATTTCGGGTTGAGGGTTGAGGGTGGGGGGTGGGGTTTAGGGGGTTGGGAGTTCAGGGTTTGGGCTTAGGGTTGTGGTGATGTTGGCGATTGTGAGTGTTTTTGCGCTAAGAATCTGCCGACCTTGTAAACCATAATCCTAAGCATTTTTCTGGCTCTGAATCCAGCAATATCGGCTAGTGGACCCCCTGGACTATAAATTCCCTGAAGCCCTGCACCCGAAACCCAAAACCAAATATTCTAAACCCTACTCCCTAAACCCTCAACCCTAGACCCTAAACCCTAAACCCCTCTGAAAACCCTAAACCCCAGGGTTTAGGGTTGAGGGTTTAGGGTTTAGGGTTTAGGGTTTGGGGTTAGGGGTTTTGGGGTTTGGGGGTAAAAGGGGGGGGTGTAATTATTTCATGCTGGCAGTCTATACGGGTTCTACAACAGGGATAATTAGTATGGGTATGCTGTGCCCTAAACCCTTAACCCCAAACCCTTAACCCCAAACCCTACAAGGCTCGGAAGGCCCAAACCGTCTCAAACCTCAGGTATCCGTGCGAGTGTGCGATCGAGCTGCTAAGCTACCGAAGAGGCCGCCACGAAGCAGGGCCCAGGAAGATACCAAACAAGGTTTAGGGGTTTAGGGTTTAGTGTTTAGGGTTTAGGGTTGCTTTGGGTGAGTAAGAAGAGTTCGTCGGGTTTAGGTTGCGTTTGGGGTGGAAGGCGAGTTCTTTTTGGGGAGAGAACAGGGTGCCCGTATGCTTCCGAGTACCTTTCTTGCGAGAAATATGCTCAAGCCCGGCAAGCGGAAGTGCAAAATGGTCCAAAGGCCTATACCTCGATACTGGGATTGATCTAGTGTATGCCAGCGAGGGGTTATCTGAACATGATTCTTCAGGGCTTCCTTGGCTTTTGGCGTTGGGTGGAGGGGGAGGGTAGTTGCCACCATGTTACTCTAACACGCCCAAAACACCGGTACTTGCAGCGTGTGTGCCTCTTCAAATAAGCTGCTGCAGAAGGATGTTTGACGTTGCTAGTCAGCCCCCCGTGCGGTACTTTATGGACCTTTGTTCATACCCTAAACTACAGGGCAGCACGCGGGTCATACGAAGCAGACGGAGGCCCGCCGTTTCGAACAACCCTCATGAAGTGTAGGTCCTTGGAAGCTTGAGGCTCAACAAGTTTTGGGAGCTTCCAGGGTTCGCATGCGTCCGGACTACAGACACCCAGCGTGAAGACGCAAGCAATAATTGTGCAGAGAGAGAGAGAGATGGAGAGAAAGAGAGACAGAGAGAAAGAGAGAAAGAGAGAAAGAGAGAAAGAGAGAAAGAGAGAAAGAGAGAAAGAGAGAAAGAGAGAAAGAGAGAAAGAAAGAAAGAGAGAAAGAGACAAAGAGAGAAAGAGAGTAAGAGAGAAACAGAGAAAGAAAGAAAGAGAGAAAGAGAGAAAGAGAGAAAGAGAGAAAGAGAGAAGGAGAGAAGGAGAGATGGAGAGATGGAGAGATCGAGAGAAAGAGATAACGAGAGAAAGAGACAGATAGAGATAGAATTAGAATTACAGAAGAGATTGGGGGAGAGAGAGAGAGAGAGTGACAGAGTTTGTTTAGATGTGCCTCCAACTGTGGGCTTTGTAGAAAGGCTGATCTTGTTATGCGGTGCATTCCTTATCGTCCATGGTGCCAAAAACTGGTCCTCAATGTCGATCACCCCCTACATGTTTAACCCATCTGACCCCTTCTTGTTTTCACACTGCACCCTGAAACCGAAACAGGTGCCACAGCGGTTTGGCACGTGTATGACCCTGTCGACCAGTTTGCCTACGTCCCCGCCGGCATGCATGCGAGCCTTGCCTGGGAAAGAGAAGTCTCTAAGCACTTAAGATTTCACGATAGCATCAAAAACATCCTCATCACATCTTCAACATCTGACAACCCTAAAACCCCTAAGCCGACACTACCTTAAGCAAAGAGCTCGTTTCAGGCATAATTGTGACCCAAAGCCGTGTTAGCTTTTATTTGGCTCACACAAGGATCCTGGCACAGACATCCCTGGCCGCGCAAGACTACGGGAACCATCCGTACGTCGTTGCGGAGGGAATGGAGGCCCAAAGGTTTAGGGTTAACAGAGCTTAGGCTCAGGATTAGTCGCTCCTACACCCTAAACCCAACCCCTGGACTCTTTACAACCGGGCTCCATGCCCGAATGATTTCCCCCCTTCCCCCCCCCCCCCCCCCCCCTCCCCCCGCCCCTAGCAATCAGCGGTCGGCGCCGAAGTGTTCCCTTTTAAGGCACCTGGACCTTCTGGGTGCTTGTCGACTGAAACCTGAGCCCTGAAACCCGCAAACCTAGCACTCGAAACCTGAAAAGCAAAAACTCACAACACCTAAGAAAACCATGATAGACCTAAATTCAAACCATGCTAGACCTAAATTCCCGCTTCTTGGGAGGTGTACTGGCACCCGCTGCACCATTCGAACTCGGATGCTCGGTGGCAGTTTCAGAGAATTGTCTAGTTTGCATATTACCCTAAGGGGTCCATGTACCTCATTATTATATAATTGCGCCCTAAAGTCCCTGTGTAGGAAGTACTTTAAAGGCCCAAGTATATAATAGTTAGGTACATGGACCCTTAGGGTTGGCTACGTTTATACATGGGGACACCCTAAGACTCCTTAGGGTTCAGGGTTCAGGGTTCAGGGTTTCGGGTTTCGGGTTTAGGGTTTAGGGTTTGGGGTGCAGGGTTTCGTCTTTCATGAATGTTCGGACCTGTAAAACTACCACCTAGGATGGCTACGAAATACCCTGGCGAGATTCAGTCGAGGCGACTTGGCAGCGAAGCTTCAGGGTTTATTGGTTTTTCAGCTTTTCAGTGTTTAGGGTTCTGGGGTTTCAGGGTTTGGGGTTTCGGGTTTAGGGTTTGGGGTTTGGGGTTTAGAGTTCAGAGTTTAGGGTTCTGTGGCTCGAAGTGCAGGTTTAGGGTTTAGGGTTTGAAGGTTTTTTGTATTAGGGTTTAGGGGTTTAGGGGTTTAGGGTGTAGGGTGTAGGGTGTAGGGTGTAGGTGGCAAGGCTCAGGAATGTTGTCTTGCAGTGCGGGCCTTATATGTTGAATGGGAAGGGGCTCTTTCGGGTTTCGGCTGAGTTGGTGCCCCTAAACCCTAAACCCTAAACCCTAAACCCTAAACCCTAAACCCACAAAAGCTAAAGAGCAGAGTATAGGTTTTTGGAAGTCGTCCTGTGCAATCCCCTGGCGCCCCAGGTGCAGCCGGTGAAAGGAGAAAAAGGATGCCAAAACGACAGGGTTCAAGTTGGCGGGCGGTTGCGAATTCAGGTTTTAGCCTTCAACCCCAAATCCTAAACCCTACACCCTAAACCCTCATCCCTATCCCTAAACCCTAAAACCGAGGGTTCCAGCTTACTCTGAGGTTGTTGGCAGCCATACGACGCACAACGACACCGAGCTGTACTCGGCTTTGGAGATAGCCGCCCCATGGCTTTACCTTCACCGCAGGGTTTAGGGTTTAGGGTTTAGGGTTTAGGGTTTGGGGTTTAGGGTTTAGGGTTTAGGCTTTAGGGTTTAGGGTTTAGGGTCCATGTACCTATACCGTATATGCTTGGGCCTAAAATCGGTCCCATGCCCAAGTATTTACTATACAGATGCATGGGAGTAAGAGTCCCTAAAGTAGCCGCCTATCTGTTTTGGATAGGTACCTATCTGATAGGGGTCTATCGCAATCAGGATAGGTCCCTATTCGCACCCCCCTACCCGCAGGCGATAGACCCCTATTTCGAGGGGTCTCCCCGATGTGGATAGGTACCTATGCATAGGCCCCTGTCCGGAAAGGATAGGGGTCTATATATAGGGGGCTGTCGCCCGGACCTAGACCCCTATCCATGGCATAGACCCCTATCCCTTTCCGATAGGGCACTATCCGTCCCTTCCTTCGTCGCCTCACAACTATACCCTAAACCCTGAGTCCCTAAACCCTAAACCCTAAGCCCTAAGCCTGAGCCCTAAAAAAACCCTATTCCCGAAACCCAAAAAGAAACCCTAATCCCTAAAAACCCTAAACCCTAAATCCAGCCCTAAACCCAAAACAAACCTAAACCCTAAAGAACCCCTAAGAAACCCTAATCCCTAAAAAACCGTAAACCCTAAACCCTGAGTCCCTACACCCTAAACCCTAAGCCCGAAGCCTGAGCTTTAAAAAACCCTAATCCCGAAACCCAAAAAGAAACCTTAATCCCTAAAAACCCTAAACCCTAAATCCAGCCCTAAACCCAAACCTAAACCCTAAAGAACCCCTAAAAAACCCTAATCCCTAAAAAACGTACACCCTAAATCCAGCCCTAAACCCTAAAAACCTGTCCCTAAACGCTAAACCCTAAACCCTAAACAACCCTAAACCATAAAAACCCCGAAACCCAATAAGCCCTAAACCCTAAACCCTAAACCCAGCCTTATGCCCAGAAAAAATCCCTAAGCCCTAAATCCTTAAGAACCCTAAACCCTAAAAACATCTCAGCCCTCAACCCTTAAAAAACCTAAGCCCTAAACTCTGAAAACCCCTGAGCTCTAAACCCTATAAACCCTAAACCCTAAACCGTAAAAACCTCGGAACCCTATAAGCCCTACACCCTAAGAACCCCTTGCCCTAAACCCTAAAAAACCCTCAACTTCAAACCCCGAAAACCCTAAACCCTAAAAACCCCTAAACATAGGCATGTTGTTTCAAGCCCATCATGCGAGCATTCTGTGTGCAAAGGGGGGGGAGGGGGGGGGGGTGGGGGGTTGCGCCCCCAACCCCCCCGCTTAATTCTTTCTCGAACCCATCATGCGAGTGGTGTTTGCAAATGGGAGGGGGGGGGGGGGAAAAATCCCTAAACCCTAAACCCCAAAAAAAACCCAAGCCCTAAGAATCTTGAAGTCCTAAAAACCTAAACAGAGGCATGTTTTTTCAGGCCCATCATGCGAGCAGTGTGTGTGTGTGTGTGTGTGTGTGTGTGTGTGTGTGTGTCAAATGGGGGGGGGCTGCGCCCCCCCCCAACCCCCCCGCTTAATTCTTTTTCGAACCCATCATGCGGGGAAGAATCCCTAAACCCTAAACCCCAAAAAGCCCTAAACCCTAAAAATCTGTAAGCCCTAAAAACCCCCTAGAACCCAAAAAACCCGAAACCCTCCCTAAACCCTAAACCCGAAACCCCTAAAGCCTAAAAAGCTCTGAGGCCTGAACAAGAAATCCTAAACCCTAAAAACCCCTAACTCTGAACCCCCAAAAAACCCTACAAAAACCCTACACCCTAATCTCTCGCTCGAGCACAAGTGCTACATTTGTTACCATAGGGGTCTATGGGTTTGTGGGTAGGTTCTATGCGAAGGGAGGTAGGGGCCTATGAAAAATGGATGGGGGTCTATGCCGCATAGGGGGGTAGTATAGGTAGGGATAGGGTCTATGCATAGGGATCTATGGGAAAAGCCATAGGGCCTATGCATAGGGGTCTATGCAGAAACGGATAGGGCCTATGCATAGGGTTCCACCATGGACGGAGAGGGCTCAGGGAATAGGACCCTATCCTAAAACCA